GACATGTTTAAGCACTTCTGCTCTGATCTCGATCAACAGTTATGTTTCTTTTTGTGAAAATACTGTTATTCCTCTGAAATCTTGCAATGTATATCCTAACAACAGGCCCTGGGTGACCAAATCTCTCAATTCAGCTCTTAATTAGAAAACAATCAATTTCCATCAAGGTGATGCTGTTCTGTTGAAGGATGAGCAAAAGAATGTCAAAAGAGTGATTAAGAAGGCTAAACGTAGGTATAAGGATAAAGTGGAGGAAGCAATGTGCAAGTGTAACTAGTGCTCTGCATGAGTGGGTATTAGGTCTATGGTGGAAGTGCACAAGAGTGCAGCAGTATTAATACATGTAGTAAGTCAGACACTGACTTTGCTGATGATCTGAATCAGTTTTATCTTCAGTTTGACACATGATTTTTAGGATGAAATAAGTGCGTTCAGAGGCAGGATCTCAGCTTATGCAATTAGTATTGACGAGTCTAAGGTATGTGAATGGTTCAGTCAAATTAAGGAGAGAAAGAATCCCGGTCCTGATTCTGTTGGGGGGGCAGAGTATTGAAAAAGTGTGCTTGACTGCTGTGTGGCATATTTTATTTTTCAAATGTCATTAACCCAACAAAAGGTTCCTAAGGTGTGGAAACTATCAGTTGCAGTCCCAGTAGCTATGGTTAAATCTCCCAGTTCACTCAATTACAGACCAGGAGCCCTCACCTCTCTAGTTATGTAAAGTCTTGAACAGATTATGAAAAGTGAGATTTTGGCCAAAGTAAAGAATCAACTAGATCCATTACAGTTTGCTTACAGGGAGGGGGTAGAAGATGTTACAGCATGCTTTCTCAATCTTGTCCTCCAACACCTTGAGCTAGACTGCTAGACTGCTGTTTGTGGATTTCTCCTCTGAATTTAATTGTGTCGAACCTCATCTACTGGTAACTAAGCTGTTATCAATCCTTGGTCTTGATCTCAATCTTGTCAGCTGGGTTATTGATATCCTAACAAACAGAACTCAGAGAGTTCTGTGAGTCAAGAATGTTTAATCCAACAAAAAGCATTCCTTTACTGGTCCCCCAAGGATGTGTATTATCTCCCTTACTCTTTGTCCTGTACACAAACTATTGCAAGAGCCATCACCACTAAAGACACATAATCAAATTTGCAACTCTGTCATTGTTAGCCTGCTGCTGGCAAACAAGAGGAGCCATGGACCAATCATTGATGAGTTTGCCACCTGGTGTGAAAAAAACTTCCTCGAGCTAAATGTGTCCTAGACCAAAGACATGATAATTGACTTCAGGAAAAACACCCACACTCCCACCCTAACCTACATCGGGGGAGCTTCAGTGGAGATAGTAGAACAAGGCAAGTACTTGGGGACTGTTCTGGACTCCAAGCTAAATTTCGAAGCCAATAGTGCCCTGATCCTCGGAAAAAGTCAACAGCTTCTTTTTTTTTGTTAAGGAAGCTTAAGTGTTTTAAAGTCGATGATTAATTGTTGATTTTGTTCTATCGGTACTTCCTTGAATCTGTTCTAACTTTTACCCTTATCTGCTAGATTCAGGCAACCTGAATCTGAGAAGCAAGAACAAACCAGGCAGTCTTGTGAAAATATGTCAGAACTTAGTTGGTGCTGATCTTCCAGCTCTTTCCTCCATCTGTCATTCACATGTTTTGCATAAAGCAAAATCCATGATGATCCTTCACACACCTTGTTTAATAATTTCCAGTTAGTCCCATCAGAATGCAGGTACCAATTCCCCAACTCTTAAACCAACGGCTTTAAGTTTTCATTCATACCAGTAGCCATATCGTTACTTAACACTTAACCTACTATGCAAATATGTATATTGTTGTTCCTGTCGTTTTTTTCTTCTGTCTGTACTCCAATGGTGCTGCTGTAAAACAGCTTGACCCCCCGGGAATAATAAAGACTCTCTCTCTCTCAAATAAATATATATTTTAGTTAGAAAATATTCAGCTGAGTCTCAGGTGTTTCTGTTTGAAGTTAAATGAAGTGATTAAACAATTATATGAAAGTCATTTTGATTAACTGATCAACTCACCGTGACATTATGTCCAATAGGGTAAGAATTCAAAATATTTTACTTCACCCCTCAGTACTTCTTAACTTGGGTTAAACAGGCTTTAGGCTGTGGAGTGTGTTTCTTGTCACTGAAGCAGTCACAATGGCCATAATTCAAATGGCCAGGCATTTGTACTAATATTTAACGATTACTGATCCACTAGAAATGGCTTAGGTTTGGTTTCTTGGGGATGGAGTAGGGAGAAAAGTAGGTCCCAATACAGTATAATTGAGTATTACAGTAAGATGACATGAAATAGACAGGAGAAAAACAGAGCAATTAGAGGGCTACTACAGGATGCATGCAAGTAGATAGTGCACTGAAGAAACCAACTTTGGTATTTAGATAGGGTGTATGGTGCTATCATTGTTGGAATATTTATTAACCTTTTGTGGTATCTAAATAGTGCATGAGTAAACTAAATTTAGTAATGCACTCTTTTGATCAGGAAAAGATGTTCCCATTTGTTTTGCATCTGTTTAGAGACTGATTAAGTCCTATGGATTTAGACCTTTTATTAGAAAAGCAGGTTCCCTTTTTTCCTGCATGGAATGTGGGCTTTATTTGTAGGGTTCTGCTTTCCTGATTCAGTAAAAGGCAGGGTCCTGGTATGCTGTATTGGTACAGAGACTATAAAATATGTGAGCTGGTAAATATTTGTCCTTTAAACTTTGCTGCCTAGTTTATTACATTGTTGCCTTACTGCACCAGAGAACAAAGAAAATGCGGAGCTGAACATATACAGACATGCATTTTCTGGAAGGTAGGTACAGTAGGTTTGTTATTGTTAACTTTTATGATTTGCTTGAAAGGCAAGCTGGTGTCAGGTTTCTGCTTATTATTTTATCGTTCTCTCTTTATTCACATCCCTTAGTTTGTAACCATACACTTGAGTGATTTTGTTGCCTAAACACTCGATCGGTTACCTCATTAGTGCGACAGCTGATTGGGCTCAGGTGATGAGGTTTTCTCAACCTGTTAAATATCAAACCTGTTGAAATACGAAAATTGCAATAAAGAATCAACATTCCATATATTAAGAGTCTTATACTTTCATGCTTTTGGTATGTTGGTGGCTGAGTCCCAGACATGGACTTGCCAGTAGTGTAGCAAAGTCCTTTTTAAGGATGAATCAAGGTTTTGTTTAGATCACCCTGGTGAATGATTGAATATGGTGCAGACATGTACAACAATAGGTATGATACTCTGTGCAGCAGTGTCTAGTCAGTGTAGAACCATTTTCCAGCAGAGCTGTTGTATAGTCCTCGTGTTGCTTACTTGATGAATAATTTCTTGTATGATGAGAATGGATGGTTATACTGTGGATGTATTGATCTCCTGATCTGAGCCTCCTTACACGTTTGTAATATGAACTGAGACAACATGTGGCTTTTATAGCTCAAAGATCAGTGTCAGGCACTTACTTCTCCATGATCTACAAGAAAAATGAGTCAGTATCTCACAACACCCCCTTTACAACCTGGTTTTACAGGTATACAGCTCCAGTTGCTTCCAGCAGCAGCCAAATTTGAACTCATTCAATATGTTATAAATATTTGCCAAGGATCTTTTGTTGACTTATGAAAATGAATGCTGTTTCTATTAAATTATGGTATTTTACTGTAGATTCTCAATTATTCATTTAATCATTCATTCATTTCTATTGCCCCCCCCACCCCTTCCTGTGAAAATGCAGGTGATGTCTGTGAGCAATATAAACTTAATAATGTCAGTCATATGAGCTAGTGTTGTTGTGCTTTTACTTCCTACTGAAATTCTTCCATTAATGCAACTTGTTTCCTTCTCTGTGACCCAAAGCTTTCTGTATTGGCCTAAGCAATGTTCAGGATATTGGGAATGTTATTTAAGTGAATAAGCTCTGCAAACTGTGAAAACCTAAAAACCGTTTGTATAGATCTACCAAACTTTTAGACTTATAAGAGGAGCAACTGTACTGATTCCCTTTGTGCAGAAAGACTTGAAAATTCCTTATATTGCAGGCTAACGGTCCAGTTAATCTCTATGGAGACCAAATGTAGTATATACTCTCACTTATTACAATGTAATTGCAGATGAGAACCCAGTTCACCTTTCAGTTTGTTGTTCACTGTTAATAATGATTTCTTGTTTGTGTTGATCTTTTGAGATTAGGTTTTTGTACAATGATGAGAAAAATTGAGTTTTGCAGATTTTGACAAGCCCTGCCTGGGCTGCCCTCTAGATTGTGAGTTCATAGATCTGTAAAGTTAGTCATAAGCATAAATTAAACACTAAAGAATAATAAACGAGTCTCTTACTATTTTTAATTTGTCTTTATGGAAGAGTAAATACCTCCGTAATTTTGTGTAACAGAAGTTGTTTTTGTATAGTATTGGATTTTTACCTAGTAACAGGACCATATTATGCTCTTAAGCTGTCGTATATTTTGTGATGCTGAACGTTTGCTCTCCAAGTAGTGTCATGTTAGGATGGGTTCTAAAACTGAGGAAGTCACCCATCTAAATACATCTGAATGAAGCACACTTTACTATATACAAGATATATAATATTCTGTATCACGGATGAGCTAGACTGAGCATAGCACAATTTAATATTTAATAGGTTTATTCCATGCTGAAAAGAGAAGAAAGAAAACACAATGTTTCGGCTGTGGAGCCTTATTTGGGTGCCTTCGGGACACAGCCGAAACGTTGTGTTTTCTTTCTTCTCTTTTCAGCATGGAATAAACCTATTACTTGTTCCTTTGCAGCCTAGGCATGCTGACGCATCTACCCACCTGAACTACAGTTTAATATTTGCATGACAAATGATAAAGAAATTTAATTTAGCTTGGGTCGTTTTAATGTAAAAATATATATCCTTTATCATGTGTTTAGAAATGCAGTCTGGACTGATAATCTGAGTGTTTGTTTTTCTATCTCCCAGGTGAAAATGAAATTTTGGAATCTTTGCATAAGATTGCAAACAAGAACAAGCTCTGGAGATCCTACATCGGCATGGGCTATTACAACTGTTCAGTTCCCCAGGCCATACAACGAAACCTGCTGGAAAATTCGGGATGGTTTGTTTCACTGTTTTAACTTCTAAGCCACACGCAAATCCTAAACCACTGTTGCCTATATTGAGGTTCGGCAAATAATGTGTTCATGTTTATAGGCACAAAAAAGAGTAAGAGTAAAACTTAATACATTTAAGTTTTGTTGTTTTTGTTTTTGTTTTGTTTTTTAGTTTTTGCTGACATTTTTTGCGTCCCCTTTTGTCCATAAATTTTCAGGTTGAACATTCAAGGTTAATTAAAAATACGCACTTTAAAAAGTGTAATATTTGGCCGTAGGTTACCGTTTAAGTCAAGCAGTGCCCTCAAACAATTTACAGCATGTACATGTTCAGTCAAACTACTTTGAAGACCACTGTATCCCCCAATAGCTTGTTGGCTCATGTTTGACAGTGATGACTGCCATGGCATTGATCCCACTACATATTCAAAAGTGTCAAATTTCTTCTCATAAAATGGGAAATCTGCCATCTGTCCCTCTGACAGGTTTAGTGGCTTTTTACAGCCTTCACTGTAATCTTATCATTTACATCTTGCAAACCTGTGCCTCTGTTTTCATATGACACATTAGACAGGTCTGCTGTTGTTTTCTGTAGTGCATCAGAGGCATACCTGTCAACAATTATATCTCTTGTAAGATCAGCCTTTTCACAGCATGTCACACTGAGTAACAGGCCTGGTGTGCTACTGCTTCACAGTCCTTATGAATCACAAGACATAGCATGTTCTGAGCCAGTCTCCCTATTTTGGACAGGAAAGGTCATTCATCTACACTATATCATTCTCTTAAATACTGGTACAGCAGCCTAGTATAAAATATTCTAAAGCTTGTAATTTGCACAAAAAGTCATTATGTGTTTATATTGTTTCTCAGAATTTAGAGTACATTATTACCATCATTTACATTTCATGTATTTCAAACATAATACTGCAAGTCTGAGTTAAAAAATATGTACTCTTGTAGACTGGATTCCCTCTCTATAATAAATTGGGATTTTGCTTTCCTTAATGCAGTGTTACTGTATGTGAAATTCCATTCATGAAAAGTGAATTAAGAAGTAGGTTCCATATTGCAACAACACGCAAGGTAATGTTGTTAGCAATTTATTTAAAACTTATCATATGTGCTGTTCTATCCGCAGCACACAGGGTGAAGTTTTGGAATACTGGAGATATTTTAATTACCTTTGCTAGCCAGAATGTTCTCAAGGTGGATCTATTGAAGTCTAGTGATGTATTATCTTTGTTCTTCTGTTTATTGTTGCAACCACTGAAATTTGTAGGCATATCTAACCTTGGTCTTATCTGCTAGTTGTTAAAATAACTTACACAAAATAACTTTGTGTATTGAACTCCTTTATTCTTGTTTACTTTGTAAGGTTTTATGGAAAGTCTAGTTTTTCCCTCCCAGAGGCAAACCATCCCCTATTGAGCAATATGAGCTGTAGAGCTCTGGCTCTTATGAGTCAGTGAAAACTATGGGTTTCAGTCCATCCAAGTAATTGCCTTATTAAAATGATTGATAGTTTAACCACAATTTAATCCTTTTTCTTTGTCTTAAGTTGCAAAACCCAAAACCTCTGCAAAACTGCATCTCTTGCAAGAATTATTGTACAATCAAGCAGAAATAAGAGAGGGGCTAAAGACACTAACGCTATTGCAATATGCAGTTGTTTAAATCAATATTTTTTGTAAACCATTCCAAATTGCCCTCTAGACCATGCAGTTTTGCATTACTTTTAAAAATCTAATCAAATGAGGAAGAGGTAGTTAATACCTACTCCTTAAATTTATATAGCGCTTTTCTGGACACTCCACTGCAAGCACTTTACAGTAATGGTGACTCCCCTCCACCATCACTAACGTGTAGCCCCACCTGGATAATGAGATGGCAGCCATAGTGCACCAGTGTGCTCACCAGGACACCAGGGTAACACCCCTTCTCCTATCAAGAAATACCCTGGAATTTCCAAAGGACAGTGCCTTTTTACACTACGGTGCTCCCATCACTATACTGGGGCATTAGGACCCACACAGACCTCGGGATGAGCACCCCCTACTGGCCTCATGAACACCTCTTCCAGCAGCAGCATTAGCTTTCCCAGGTGGTCTCCCATTCAGGTATCGACAATGCTCACACCTGCTCAACTTCATTGGGTTGCCAGCTGTGAGTTGCAGGGTGATATGGCTGCTGGCTAGTTAATATGATGGTCATTTTGAAATGGTCTATTTCTAAAAGTATATGTACCTTAATTTAATTTCAAATGCCACCTGGTGGAATGGTGGTCATCGGCAAACAAGTATTTTAAGTTGTATTGTAGTTTAACAGATTGGAGAGCATTGGTCTTCCAGAAAAAGTGGCATTATGTGTGTGAGCAGGGGTAAAAAATCTGTTTATTGTGAGGTTAAAAAATCCTAAATCTGTTTATTGTGAGGTTATGTTGTGTTGGCCATGATCTAGAGTGTTGAGTGGTTCTGATGTTTAAACATGGCAAAGTGGCGTAAGTCATTCTCCAGTGTAGAAGGTACAGTACAGAAATGAAGACAGTACCCATGAAGTTGATTGGTAAATACACTCTGTAGAACATTATTCATGAAAAAAACATAAAAATGATATAACTTAATATTTGTCCATGATGGGTTCGATAAATGCTGTGTGATGTGATTTTGAGATTTGTAATTAATTTGTGGATGGGAATGTATTCCTTCACAACAGTCACTAGTGACAAAGTCTGTTTAACAGCCAAAACCAGAAAACTCTGGTTTAAAATCCTGTGATGGTTTGTCTTGTGATCTTGACATGCACGTGCCAGGTTGAATATAGATTTCTGGAGTATATATTTTGTCTGATGATGCTGATCTAAGATTTTTTTTCCTTCCCTACTAATACTCAGCTGCAGTATATCCCTCACAAAGAAGGAAAGTCTTGTAAGGGTGTATTGGGTACAATTTTGGTTTTATGGTATGGAAAGGCGGATTTCTAGCAGACAATTCACTACACTAGCTTTGTTTCAGAACCTGATCAATATCTGCAAGAGCTGCATTTGAATACTGTTTGCAAATTGTCAATAGTACTTTCAGCTCTCTGGATTTGCTCTTGCTTTGGATGTATTGACTACCGCGCAATTTGTAATAGTGCTCTTAGTTAATTAAATAATGTATTACTCAGCATCCAGAGTTTCCATTTGAATATAGGCTGCTCTGCACTTTTATTTGCCATATTAAAGACACCTTCCTGAAAGTTGGCCTGAAAGTTTAAAGGTAACAAATGTACAGTATACAATACTTTTGTGACCAAGGAAGACCTGTGCTGGTTTTACACCAGTCAGGATAGATGTCTTGTTGTCTAAGCTCTTGTCTCACACCCTACCCCCAACTTTCCTCTTTTGTTATAGACCTTAATAGTATCCTAGAGACCGAGCTAACAGACCCCATCTCTGGAACCCACATAACAACACTACAGAAAAGAGGGCAAGAATATTATGCCACTGGGAAAACTACAGTGCCTTGCAAGCAGTGCCTTGTTTTTTTGCTTTAAGGCTTGCAGTCATGACATTTTGATGTACCAATTAATATTTATGTACAAAACCATATCTTCTTTTTAAAAAAAATAATCACACAAGAAAATCAGAAAATGGCAAACCTAAATCAGTTTTGGTGCACAAAATTCTTAACAAGTTTTGTAAATAGCTGAGTGACCTGTCTGTGTGCAATAATAGTGGTTCATGTGAATTCAGAAAAGCTTGAAAATGCTCTGGGGCCTGACAAGGGAGAAAATGTTGATGGGTCAGCAATACCATCACTCCATAATGGAGGCTCGTATGAAACATGGAAAAAAAAGCTCCCAAATGTGACGGTGGAATGCTTGCAAACTGTCTCTTTATTGTCTAGTCTGCTTTCTAACACTTTACCTGCTTAATAACCCTTTTCTGCAGATTTTAGCTTTTTAGATTTACAACTTTTATCTTCTGTGGTGGTCAAATACCAATTTCAATTTATGTACACTACACTGCGGATGGTTCTCCATTGATATTGATTCTTTTTACTACCATTGCTGATTTTTTTAAACCCATCCTTTTACACCTCTTGCAAATGAACTTGGATTCCATTGCTCCAGAAAGACACCAGACACCAGGGATCATGCCTTCCACCCGCTCTCAGTGACCGACCAGTTTCTTTTTAAACCTCTCCATTCATTTACCTCACCTGGACTTTGTTTCAAAGATTACCATGTGTCTTGACACTTCCTCACTTGCTCTGCCTGTTTTCACAAGCTCTTGTTATCCTTTGCTTTGTTTCCTTCCCCCTCATACCTTTTTTTTTTATTTTCAGCTTGCATTTTATCTCTGTATTCATTTTAAAATATGTGGTATATATTGGAATTACTTTAGATGCTGCAACACCTGACTTTTTTTCTAATAGTTTAGCTGTCGAACTTTCTTCTTCATTGAAAAATAAATAGAAAAATGTTATTCAAATTTCTTGATATCCAATTTTTTTCTGGGCTGTTTTCCTATTTATATCAGATTGTACTTGCCTGTTTTAAAATGTGGAACAAATTTTAAAGTAGCAAAAAATAAAAATAATAAATTCATTGGTACTGCTGTTGTACCCTTTAGTAAACACTCTGATGGCATCAGTAAAACTTCCCACATATTTTTGGTACAAATTAAAGTTGCTTTTGATAAAAGCTTAAGCCAAACCAATTAAAACATTAATTCATAGAAATTAAGCTGGTGTGGAGTAACTTGGTAGTTTAGTCTTTGCTTTATTATGGGTTTAAGAAAGCTTATGGAAAAGAGGTCAGTTGTGAACTTCTTGTGAAATATTCAATTCAAAATACTTTATTCATTCCAGGAGGGCAATTTTTTAATATGGCGTTCCAAATGGGTTCCAAGTGGTTTACATGAGAGTAACCCGGTTTTGGAAACCCTATTTGAGAATCAGTTCTCATTCCAACTGTGCACTAAATTGTTAATTGAATTGGGTTTAGTAGTTGGGTTAGGTTGGGTTAAGTAGTTGAAAAGCATTTGATCAATACTGTAACTTTGAGCTTATCTGGAAAAAAAACCATAAGGTGTGGTTGTACGAAACAAATGACATCCAAAGACTCACCTGCTGTCTTACCTGTTCTGACCCTCTCACATTCAGGGTGACTCAGTACACTCCATACCAGCCAGAAGTTTCCCAGGGTCGCCTAGAAAGCCTGCTTAACTACCAAACCATGGTGTGTGATCTCACTGGCATGGCGGTTGCCAATGCCTCTCTCCTGGATGAAGGCACTGCAGCTGCAGAGGCTATGCAGTTATGCCACAGGTGAGAACAGTATTATGTCTGTAAGGGCCTAAAGAGTAGCCTTTCAGGTGTAATTAACCTCATGTACATTTTACATTTGATTAATTTTTTACGTTTAATTGTGGAAGAAAGTTGCATTTAACCCAAAAGAGAAAAACATCCTCTCATAGCCTGTAAGATGCTAAACAAATTTTGCAGAAAACTGGTATGTCTAGCAAGATTCCAAAAACAATGAACAGTGTGGCCACAAGGCACAGGTAAAAATAGTGATAACAAACAATGCCTTGTCAGAGAATAGGGGGCTTTCCAGGTGGCAAGAGTGAGAGTGAAGAGGCCCTTCTCGTGAAACAACAGCTGCATTCCAAGTGTAAGGAAACATGGTAATAGAACAGGACATGAAGAACAAAATTAACAGGAATATATAATTATATATATGGGCGGAGCGGTTGCTCTGTGGCTAAGGATCTGCGCCTGTGGCTGGAAGGTTGCCGGTTCAAATCCCGCAGCCGGCAGAGGAATCCTACTCCACTGGGCTCCTGAGCAAGGCCCTTAACCCCAACTGCTCCAGGGGCGCTGTACAATGGCAGACCCTGCGCTCTGACCCCAGGCTCTCTCCCTAGCTGTGTGTGTGTCTCATGGAGAGCAAGCTGGGGTATGCGAAAAGATAATTCCTAATGCAAGAAATTGTAAAGGTTTAATAAAGTAATGTTGTTATTATTATTATTAACTACTTAACTGGAATGTGTCAATTTACATGCAAATCCTAGAGACCATGGATGCACTTTTAATAATTAATTTTATGTGGATGCTGTGTGGATAAAGACCTTGGCCAAATGACCTCACTTGTAGCTGTAAATGTAAAGATTTAAACAGAAAACTTCCAAGAATATGAAAAAGAGCTAAAGGATTTTAATGAACAGCTTTACCTAGTGTAAAGAACAAAAATAAGCAGGAAGACACTGCTCTGTTGATTATGTAACATCTTTTTGGTTTTCCTGGACATGTTTGTTTTTAATGGCGAATGCATTTCTTTGTTCCACTTATTCCAGGCAGAATAAGAAAAGGAAGTTTTACATTGACCCTCGCTGCCACCCTCAGACAATAGCTGTGGTGCAGACCAGAGCCAAGTAAGAACCTTTGATTAATATACATTTATGCCTTTACAATTCTTTTAGCGCTAGTCACAAAAATTGTAATGAACCCCCTTCTATGGTGATGATTTGATTTTAAAACTGCTCATAAAATTGGCTCTCACGTGGTCTTAGGGGCCATTTTCGGTACAAAACCCTAAAGGCCTCAAGTTGGAATCGAGGTTATGCTGTTTGCCAGCTGAGACTGGTGTTTTCCAAGTGATGCTGCAAAGTTAAACTTTGTAATGCCTTGTTGGTCATGTGGCTTATTAGGCACCTGTGAACTAGCAGTGTTTTCAATGATAGCTGCATCTGCCCTTGTTGATTTCAGGGGTTGATAAATGGGTGGGGGGCGGGAAGGAAAGGTGTCCTTATTGGAAAAGGTTTGGTATTTATGTAACATTCTACAACTTTAATATTTCGTTTTACTGTGGGAATACCTAGAACTATAAGAACTTGACAATTTGCATGTAAGTTCTGAAGGAACAGAAAGCACTGTGCATATCATTTTTCAGAATTGAGTGTCTTCTAGTTGAAGGTCCTGCAATTAATTCAAAAGTGCAGCTATCTTCTCAGTAAGAAGCTTCACTTCACCTTTCAAAATGCTTGTGCTTGTCACACCTTATTGAATATTTACAAAAACGTGGACACTCATTGTCACAAAGGAGTGGTAGTCATAAGTGACCACATTGACCCCTTTACAATTCTATGGCTTTACAATTCTATGGATATATTAAGACATATCTTTGAGAACACAGACGGAGAGATTAGAGTGGTCGTGGCCGTCAGAGGTGTAATGAGAAACAATGGGCTTGGAGATATCTTTAATCTTCACAGCCCTGACGTGTTCTCTGAAGCGGTCTCCGATTACAAACAAGATGTAATGTAATCATGACAGTCAGAATGGTTGTTAACACTTTCATATATAGAATTATTTAATTTCTGCTATGTGATGAATCCTTTAAGACTTGGAGGAAAAATCTGCAAACCCCTTTAACTTTTCCAATCAAAGCCTCGTTATGTTTAGGTAATATTAATGATGACCTGTTAACATGTTATGGACAGGAAAAACCACAGACATTTGCCAAGTGGAAATACAGTAAAATGTCGTACAAAAGAAATAACTTGAATTCTTTGTTTGTGGTAGCTACATTGGGGTAAAAACAGAGCTGAAGTTGCCACACGAGATGGACTTCAGTGGAAAGGATGTCTCGGGAGTCTTGTTCCAGTATCCAGACACTGAGGGCAGTATTGAAGACTTCACTGGGCTGGTGGACAGAGCTCAGAAGAGCGGGGTAAGAATCTCCTGGCAAGGGAAAATATAGGGTCTTTTCATGGGAAGATTTATGGCCTGAAAACCTTCATATACAGTGCCTTGTACAAGCATTCAGACTTTTGCAGTTTTCTCATTTTGTTGTTTTAAAGCTTGTAGACTTTGAAGTAGCAATTAATGTTATATAATGTCGCAGAGTGTCACCATGTCAGTGCCAATTTTTGAGCTATCTAACAGGTGAGTTTGCAGCTTTTCTGTTACCAAACTTTGTGGCAATGCGACTGGATAACTGTCCCATGTTCAATCCTCACACAACTCTTGGGAGAATAACCTGAAGTCTCTATCCATTACCAGAGCATGTTTATTCCAGCTTCCAGTGATACCTACTTTTACAAAATCAAGAACCTTGCCTTATTTGTTAGTGATTAATCTCCAAAATTATAAATTGTTTCTGTGTTTTCCCATCCCTGGGGAAACATTCGGCTACCCACTGAAATGACGAACGGGGAAAATTTCTTTTGTAACTAGTCTTGATCCACATATAATTGCTGCGAAAGGTACTTCCACCAAATTATGCAATCAATGCATTACAATTATTTCTGTTGAAATTTGCTGTAACCTTCTTACCCTTGGTCTTCTGTCTGACCAGTTTCAAAAATGTGTATTATTTTGTAATTTCACCATATGAAAGGGCTGAAGCTTAAGACCAAAAACAGGTTGTCCCTAGGATATGCTGATGCTTTAATTTTTCCATCAGTCAAGATAAGCTTCCTGTTCCCTGCCTATGAAGAGCTGAACTATTACAATGCTGCCACCACCATGCTTGACAGCAGAGATAGTCTTGACTGAGTGATGTAATGCTTTGCATTTAGACCACAGAGTTCCATTTTTTCTAGTCTGACCACAAAACCCTTTGCCATGTTTGCAGTATCTATTGCGTGCTTTGTTCTAATCATTATGCAAGATTTGAAATGTTTTTTTTTCATTTCTACGTATGAGACCTTTGTGGAATCACTAGGATATTACCCAGATTTTCTCCCATATCTGTCTCTGAACTCTTTATACCGTAAATTGGCCTCAAAGTAGAATCCATAATCAGTTTTCTCCTTGTCTGGGTGCTCAATTTGTAAGGACAGCCTAACGTAAGCATTGTCTGTGTGCCTTATACTTCTCAATGGTCACTTTCACCAGGCTGAAAGAAATAATTAGTCTCCGAAATGCTTTCATACCCTTCTCCTGATCTGGGTCTGTATACAACATTATCCGTGAGTTGTTTTGAAAGCTTCTTAAGCATGATAGAATCTTTGCTTTAAATTCACAACCTGACTGAGTGACTACCGAGGGTTGTGTTCTAAAAACCTGTGAACCAGAATAATTGCATGCAGATAGAGCCACTCAACTAATCTGTGGGTCTTTTTAATTTTTTAATCTTAATACTTTTTTAAGGAACTGCATTTTTCTGTGCATGAGCTTGGATGTCCACTGTCATTATAAAACTGCATTTCATTGTTTTCCAGCTTCCTTTTTATAGAGGAAGCCTTTATTCTGACATCAACCTCTCACTACATTTTTTATCTACTTTGTTCTAAGGTTTTGGTTCTTGTCAGATTAGTACATAAAACAGTAAGAAGTCCTAAAGTCCACAGTGAACTGTACAGCTGCAGAGGCTGGTCTGGGAATCATGCCCATGATCCTTTGGACTTCTGCCTTTTCTTGATCATGAGACCAAACAACATGGCCTGACAATCATTTGATTGGAATTTGTGACGTACCTTTCCTATGCAAGAATGCCCCTCCATAACTGCTGAACAATTCCTTCAGGAGTCTTTAGTGTGCCTTGCCATTCTGACCTGTTTCTGCATTGAAGTTTAATTCCTGTATTAATTTTGAATATATTTATTTTACTTAAATCTGCCAAATGTGTTTACTGGGCACTCAGTCATAAATGCCTAAAGGTCTACATGCTTAGAAGGCTAGATGCCAGAGCATTTATTTTAAGAGTTGCTGGGATAGGGATACTTCCTATAGGGTACGAGTTTGTCAGCTCATCATTAGACTTTTTTTTCTCAAACCAGCACACTTTAACCTGCACCTGAATTAATTGCTTTTCTTTCAGCTGTGTTTATTTACTAGAGTTTAGGTTACACAAGACATCTATTTTGTATGAGTGAAAAAATGCCGTCAGCAACTGTGGTTAGTAGGTTTGGAACATTTCGATGGTGTTGGCAGAGATTTCCAGAAATCATGCTTAAAAATACAACTTAAACAATTTGAAATCCATGCATCCAATTTCTAACAGCTTCATGCAGTTCAGGGTCTCAGGAGAGCCGGAACCTATCCCAGCAAGTATTGGGATGCCAGTTAGATGCCAGACAGACACAAACACACACACTCGCACCAGGGGCGATGTTTCCAGACGCCACTTAAATTACGAACTCCACAATTAATTAAACCCAGGGCCTCAGTGCTGGGAGGCAGCAATGCTAACCACTGCACCACAGGTTTCAGCTAGAAAGGCAGCACTTTTAAATTAAAATTAACATGAAGAAAATGTGTTTAACTGAATTTTTTTTCATTGTCGATCTCTATAGAATTTTTAATATTTAATATTTTAATATTCCAGTTTTTGGTGAAATGACTGAGTCACTCAAAAATCTAAATCTTGGAACCTTTGACTGGATGTGTATCGTTTGTGACCTTTAACATGATTGTTTAAGTCTGCATTAAATCAATGGTCTGGTTTTATGGTTTAATTTCCTAGTTGAGCTTTAAAGTTCAAAAGCATACATTTGCTAAACAGACGTTGGCTATATGTTGCTCCAGCATACGTTCATATGTAAAAGAGCTGTCAACAATGCATGTTCTGTCAGTTAAAAAACAGCTTAATGTCTATAATATCTTGATTTGTATTATCAAATCCTGTGGCCGGCAGAGGAATCCTACTCCGTTGCACCCCTGAGCAAGGCCCTTAACTCTAACTGCTCCAGGGGCACCGTACAATGGCAGACCCTGCGCTCTGACCCCAAGCTTCTCTCCCTGTCTGAGTGTCTGTGTCTCCACATTCCTAATGCAAGAAATTGTATAGGGCTAATCAAGAAACATTATTATTATTATTATTAAATGAATAGAATCCTTTGAAATCTGTATTTAAGATTTTAAGTAGAAGCATAAGAAGGCAGTTATTTCTGTTATATTATTACATCATTTGAGAAGAAGGGAAAGGCAGTTAATCTTGCTTTGCAGTTAACAAACAATTCCACCTTTTGAGTGATCTCTTTTGGTTTGAATAGTTTCGAAATGGAGTATTTGGAAATCCCTGGAAGCCATGCTCTGTCAGTGGCTACATTATACCACTGGATAGAGGTAGAATTATGACTTTGTATTCCTTTTCTGCTTACAACTAAAATGAGCTGTACCAGAGGAGATGCTTATAGGTTTAGCATGAAGGATCTTTTGTATTCATTTTATAGAATACAGTAGACTGGCAGACTAGACAATTACTTGATTTCAGAAAGAATGTGCTTCTGTTTCTAGAAATGGAAATCATGACTCGCGTTAAACTTAAAGCAGTTTTTCTTTTAAATCATAAGAAAATAGTGAACTGAAACTAGTAGGTCTGTTTTTTTTCTGTCCATATAACTCACCCAGCCCAAATTGCATAATCTGGCTTGTTTGTACAGCAGATCACACCAATATGAAATTTGGATCTAATTTATCATCTTCTAAATTGTAGTGCGCTTCCTTTTTTTTGCTGTAAAGACCATAGATGTTTTTTTGTCTGTTAGCACATCCTTCAATAACAGTGGAGAAATTATCCGAGGAATGGCGCAACCCAACACATTCTTTTTCAGATTCCTGGGGGCAGTGTTTGCCACATTGAGACAGAAATAATAAATTAACTCCACTCTTCATTCCTCTAGGCCTTAGCCTGCTGTGCAACAGATTTGCTGGCCATATGTGTGCTTCGACCACCAGGGGAATTTGGAGTGGATATCGCTCTGGGGAGCTCACAGAGATTTGGGGTGCCACTGAGCTATGGGGGTCCTCATGCTGCCTTCTTTGCTGTGAAAGAAAATCTGGTGAGAATGATGCCAGGCAGGATGGTTGGCGTCACAAGGTATGTTTTCAGTTTTTTGTTGTACGCGTATTTTGGTGAAACGGTTTCAGAAGTGAACCAAAGCTTGTTCCAGCCTTTAAAGGATAGGGTTTTAAATGAGAATCAGAGGTGAGCAGTTTGATTCTTTTTAGTAAATTAGTTCATATGATTCACCAAATCACTTAAATGAAAACAAGCCACTGAATCATTTAAAAGATTCATTAACGCTGTTCCATTGTATTACTGAAACCTAGTGCAGTTTGAGAAATGAAACATTCATAAAAAATCAAAAGACTATAAAGTATATAGAATGTTTAGTTGATGAAAGCAGTAATCCATAAAGTAAAGAGAAGTAAAACTTGCCAGACCATTAATAGCAAATTAGGCACTCAATAATGTGGCACTGTTTAAACTGGTGAAGATTTTTGCATATTGCATCTGAAACTGAGCTGAGAAAGCTAAGAAGTTTGACTTCCAGCTCTTGCTGACCTAATTCTTTTGCTACAAGATTTACTGTTTTGAATTGCATCAGTTGAAGGGCTTAAACCCCCTGGCAGGTAATCCTGTTCTCTTTTACACAACAGTAAAAAGTTTTTCCTATTGTCTTATTCTAGCTGAATTCCCTTTTACTTTTTATTTGTAACCCTTGCTTCATTACTGAGTATTAAATAATCCCTAGGCTTGTCCTACCTATACCCTTATGATCTTGCACACTTGTATCAAATTTCACTCGTCTTTGTTCCGGACTGAATATGAGATCCTTAACTTATCTGACAGTTCCTTGAAACCAGGAATCACTATTGCTGTTCTTTAAACTCCCTGAACTTTATAAGGCTAGAAGATCTGTTTTGTGGTAAGACAACCAAAATTGAACAAAATAATTTGAATGAATAGAACTTTACATTATAACATTATAGCATAACTTCCCTGAATTTAAAATCCATCCTCTGTTATGTAGCCTTGTATTATGTTTGTTTCTTTTCTTTCCCACATTGTTTGTTGTGGACAGAGAAGAATCTAAATAAACAGCAAAATCCTTTTTGGTTTTAACTTCCTGCAGCTCCAGATCAACCATAAATGTGTAGTGTACTGTACTTCCCTTTGTGGAGCACTTTAAATTTGTCAGTGATACATTTTATGTACCATATGTCTGCCCGCTCCATGATTTTGTGTATGTTTGCAATTCCCTTTCCAATGATTGTGTTTGCTACTTATTTTATTAACAAGATTAGGTTTTAATGTTGACATAATGTACATCTAATGTACATGAGGAAGCAATTAAAAGGCAAGCAAAATGTTAGGGTATGTAATTAAAAATGTAGAATTTAAATTTAGGGATGTTATGTTAAAATTGTATGACACACAGTGTAAGGCCTTGCTTAAATAATGACTACAATTTTGGCTTTGAGAATAGCAAACAGATTCCAGGGTTTAAAGGAATGGCATCCTTTAGCTCTATACCGATAGACTGAAGCAACATAACCTTTTTAGTTAAGAACAGAGATTACAAAGTCACCTGATACACACAGGGCCAGGAACCCCATGAGCTCTCTTTTTACAGTGAATGCATTCAGTTCCTCTTTAATCTGACTGATGATGTAGGGGAGAGAGCCCGGAGGAGGGGTCAGAATGGAAATGAGAAAACCACAGATGCAGAGAACTATGGGTAAAACAAAAACTGATAAGGGCATAACATTTGAACAGATAAAAATTATAAAAGGAAATGGTGCTTACTCAGGCACACTTCCTGTTTAAGCTGTGAACTGCCTTGTTCTACAATTGACAGAAATGCTTTGATAGAGTATTGTAACAAATAATGGGTTAAAAATGGAGAAAATCAGGAATTGACTGTGCAGATTGACTTTTAAATTTTACTTATTGATTAAACTTATGAAGAATTTTGCCAAGAATATACACAAGCATTTGGTATAATTAGAGGCACACAAGTTCTTGTTTCTTTGGCACAGCTTTGGTGAAAACCATAATAATTCAGGCACACTTGGTTAAACAAGTATTATTAATAATGAAAATACACACTAGCCTACACATAACACACATGTAATGTTATGAACAATTTTACATAAGGCATCCAAAAAGCCTCCGTTCTAGCCACCCCCCAAAAAAACCTGACTGTCACAAAGTGATTAATTTAAAAATAGCACCCACAAAGGCCAAAATAAGAGATGAGCTGCCTTATAAACTAAGTAGAATACAACCTGCAGTTATATCTCTCTCTCTGTAAAACCCAGATGCCACAAAATAAATGGGGACCACTTTTTTTCCATTTTAAAAATGTAACCAATAATCAGAAGAGGGTGGGTTTAACCAAGAGATGCTTTACACATACATATTATCAAAGTTCAAATACTTGGCTGTGATCTGGTCCTATCAGGTGATCTGGAACAAGGACCTCTTGCTTCCGATATATTTTTCTTATGGTCTTTTCTCTTGTCCTTCCCTGCCTCACTAGTTAAGGTAGACCAAGGTAAACTTGGCGACTGCTTTGATCATTGAATATGGACTCCCTACTACATTTTCAGCTAAACATCCCTTGGCTTTGAAGCTAAAAATGTCTAGCCAGGTACCCATTGTATCTAGATTCTTAGAGACACTTCTGTAGTCACCTATAGCTCTAACAGTATATTTGGATTTCTGTCCAATTAAACATGCACAGCAATGCAAGTGGCTTCCCATTTCTAGAAACTCCTTTAACTCTTGCAGTTCATTTCAAACTCAAGGCACCGAGGTACAGAAAAGTCAAACAATTTCATTATTTTGATTATTTGCTGTCTTTCAAGCACTATTTCCCAGAGAAAATCTATTATTTTATTTCTAGAGATGCAGCAGGGAAGGAAGTATACCGTCTTGCTCTTCAGACACGGGAGCAACATATCCGTAGAGATAAAGCCACAAGCAACATCTGCACTGCCCAGGTAAGCAGAGAAACATTGGGGAGATCAGTCTTCAAAATGATTGAATGAAATATCCTGATGTGATCTAAACAGAAAAGGGAGCATTTGATACATGATAGAGTTCGATTTTCAGATAGAGTTCGATTTTCAGATTTTTTTATGTGGAACTTTCAGAATTGAAGGCAACAGATTTGAAGATCATACATATATTTCTTATCTATGCTTTAAACAGTTTTTAAACCAAAGTATACTGTATGTGACGGTTAATAATCAAATTTGTGTGTCCTAGTTAATAAAATACGACAGCGTTATTGTATTCAGGTCCTGCTCTTCCTAATTTATTTCAGTAATCTTAATTCTGGTATAGTAAATAAATTAGTCAAGACTGATCTCAAAATCGAAATGAAATGATCACAAAACAGGAGAGTTTGCAAACACTGCAAAGGCAATTTAAAATGCTAAGACAAAATTGAAGACAAGCCAAACACCTAGTCAAACTACCCAGTAATGTTGTTGAAACCTTTTGTTCTTGCAATCAAAGTAGATCGCTCAATGTAATTTGCTACAGTGGCCCAACTGATTCAAATGTCCTTCAAACTTATTATAAATTATTGAAAAACTGTGCGCAACTCTTAAATACACTATATTATTTGTAGTGTTTCTTGTTTTGGGTGTTTATTTAATAATGACATACAGTACATCCTTTTAACATGCAATTTATATTATCTTCACTAGATGCCAAAACCCCTCTGAGTTTGCTTTGTTTTATTAACTATAATTATTTAAATGTCTGAGTCCTGATTATTGTGTAGTATGCAATTCTCTGTTCTGTTAAAATGTATATTGTTAGAACATCTTGTTTAACAATTGATGACAATAAATGCACACATTGAAGTAACTCATACCCCACCACACAAAGACTTTATGAATTGTCACTTCAACAAATTGTGTTTTTTAATACCATTTTTTTGCTCTGACACCATTGTTGCTACGATGAAGATGTTTCTCATGTGTTTCCTGATCTCTGTAAATTCACAGTTATTGCTAATGCTCTTAGACAAACTGTCATAAAAATCAGTCATATCTACTTTTTTTCACTTCTACAGAGTGAAATTACATATTTTTTCTTCAGTAACATAATTACCAGGCGCTTATTACCGTATTCAAACATATCCTTTTGAAATCAAGAGAACCTCACTGGTTCAAATTCAGTCAGACCACTGATTCAGTTGCTGAGGTGGCTCACTTTCCAGGTGGCCTTCCCTAGTTTTTAATCTTCATTTTTTTCACTTGGCGTGGTGAGACAGATTGCACAACATGTTGTGTCCAAGAATAAAAACTATATATTCTTTTGATGTGCTTCTTATCTAGAACAGACTAAATCTCCTCTCTTCTGTATAGAGTGACTGTATAGGGCTTGAAGTTGACAATGGCTTTTAAAAAGTGTCCTTGAAATTTATTTCTGAATTTCAACATTGCATTTTTGATGTTGACAAGTATTAACTAAAAAAAGTTTTTTTTTACAATTTGTAATATGACATTCATAACTATGGACTCTGTATAATATGGTGCAACAGGTGCTAAATGTTACTCAATGGATGATCCGGCTTTCCATAAGCTGACCTCTCACTGTATAACAGGATAAACTGTAAGACCAAATCTGTCTGATGATCGGGTCTAGAGGAAAGTTGATAAAAATAGTGATATTAAGATCATTAATGATGTTTTATCATTGATATTAAAAACGTTTTAATCTGCAATGGATCTTAACTTGCAATAAATGTATTTTAATAAGATGCATAGAGAACAAAAAAATACATTTTTGATGGATTAAATTATCTTTTGAGTATATAATATTTAATGATATATATGTTAAGTCTTTTCATATTGAGTTTTCTTAAAGGTATGTAAAAATTGAATGCACCCACCACATGAAATTCTTTTTTTCAGGCTCTTCTAGCTAATATGGCTGTAATGTTTGCTGTCTACCATGGACCTCAGGGGTTGAAGCACATTGCCAAGAGGGTGCACAATGCTACCTTGATATTGGCTGAAGGTATAACTTTATCATCTTATAACTGTGTGCTGCATTGAGGGATAATGATTTCTGGTAATGATTAGTTATTGAAGGAGAGAAATTATCACTGTTTCACCATTAAATGGGAACGTTTTAGAATGTTAAGCATTGGAGTATTTTCCTTGCAAGTCAATACGTCAATTGATTTGTTTTTGTGTTTGATATTAAAACCTGTAATAGCAATACATAACAAATAACATCCTGACATAATGACTTATATGGTAAAATGAGCAGAAAATCAGACATTTGTCAAGACAGGTCTGTCTTGTACTGGAGTTGTCTAATGGCCAGTCATGGAACAAGACTACTCAGTTATACATCAATTATTAAATGCTGATGCAATTCTGTATTGCAAATAAAAACAGTTTGTTTTTATGAGATCATTTATGGCCATGGACTTGAACTGGAACTAATGCTCATGTCATTCTTTTCCCATAGGTCTGAAGCGCGCTGGACACAAACTGGAACATGATATGTTCTTTGACACGTTGAAGATTCATTGCAGTGTGGCAGCAAAGGATATCCTGGAGAGAGCAGTGCAACGACAAGTCAACCTCCGAATGTACAGCGAGGGACTGGTAGGTGTACAAATTAAAGAGAGCTTGCGTCTGATACGCAGAATATACTTCTAGCGTCATGGTGACCCAAAACTGAATATAGTAATGTAAATTGGGTCTTTGTAGTGGATTATAGAACTTGAGCATGGATCTTGTATGTTCTCCCTGTGGTTGTGTGGGTTTTCTCTGGGTGCTCTAGTTTCTTCCAACAATCCAAAGACCTACTGGAAAGTAAATAGGCTTTTGGGAATATTGGTCCTGACCTGAGTGTGTCTTGTATCGGTGTCTGCGTGTGCCCTGAAGTGGACTAGCATCCCCTCCAGGGTGTATCTTGCCATGTGTCTGTTGCTTGCTAGGACAGGCTTCAGCTCTCCTGCAATACTGCATTGGATAAAGCAGTTAGAAAATGGATGGATGAATTTATGAATACAGTTGGCTCTCGACATTCACAAAGGTGTGGTGCAGAGAATCATCACAAATAGCCAAATTCACAGAAAACCAAGTCCACCCCTATACAGTCGCATAATGTATAACAGTACATAGTTTGAGTCAAAAGACAGTAACCCTCCCTTATATGCTAATTAAAGTACTAATGCATTGATCAACTAAAAGAAACAACAGTAACTGCAAATTTATAGTAATCAGCTAAAATAAACAATATGAATCCCTTCTCTGTGTCTAGCCTGCTCAGCCTTTTCAACATTTAGCCTGTAACGTAATCTCCTGCCTGTCATTCCCCCAGAACCTGGAGTGTGGACACAGACTCTGGAGTGTTTATAATATAAAAACAAGACCCGGTCGAGATGCGAATGCTATGTAGTGGGTACTTGGGCTGGAAGAGGCTCACTCACTAGCTATATTCCTCTCCTAGTGTGGTGCACTGCTCATTTGAATGTTGTAGTTGACACAGCTCAGTTTCATCCCACTTTTCTCTTCTTTCATCCACCTTGACACAGTCGGCCAGACTGAATTGCAAATAAGCCTTTAACGCATGTTAATTTTGCAGATGTTGAAACCCTACTGTAGTTTGTTTAGGACAAAGACCCTTTTGAACACATCCTTTGTGCAGAAAGAAGCATTACTGTATTGTATCACATTCTTTAGTGTTAAATGTTACTTGTTTAAAGAATTTCTAAGTTTGGTTTATGAAGTTAATGGTTTACACAGTATTTAAAGAAACATTTTTAAAAATTTTATTATCCATGCATCAGTTCTAAAATTGTCTCTGTTCTTCTCCAGGTTGGAGTGTCACTGGATGAAACGGTGACAGAAAGAGATTTGGATGATCTTCTCTGGGTGTTTGGTTGTGAATCCTCGTCAGTAAGTAATGGTTTTTGTTAACCCCTTATTTTTTGCTAAAAAGCAACTTAAAGATGCTGTGGTGAGATGAGACCAAAATTGAACTTTTTAGCAGGAGTGCAAAATGGTACGTCTGGTAAAAACCCAGTACATCTTCCCATCCAAATAACACCGTTCCGACAGTAAAGCACAGTGGTGACAGCATCCTGTTGTGGGATTCCTGTCCTTCAGTCACTTCAGCTGGGACTGGGGCATTTGTCAGGATAGAAGGGAAGATGGATGGTGCAAAATACAGGCAAATTATTGAAGGAAACCTGTAGCCCTCAGCCAGGAAGTTGAAAATGGGAGGATAGTTCACCTTTCAGCATTACAATAACCCAAAGCACACCGCCAAAGCAACTTTATAGTGACTGAAGGACAGGAAGGTGAATGCCCATGAGTGGGCTAGTCAGAGCCCTGACCTAAATCCCATCGAAAATCTTTGGAATGACTTGAAGAGGGCAGTCCATCAACAGTCACCACACAGACTCAAGGCAAGCAAAAAGGCAGGCAAAAAGTGCTTCCACCAAGTATTAACTCAGGGGTGTTCTCTTATCCAACCCAGTTATTCTATTTTTTTTTCTCAGAAATTTAGCTTTCATTATTCACTTGGACTTGGTTGCAGGGTACAATTTGTAATTAAAGCTGGAAAAAGTCTGATTTTATTTGTCTTCTTTTTGAGCTTTAGGGCAACAAAAGGTGAGGATTTTGAAAGGGGGTGGTGAATTTCTATTTCCACTATACTATTTCAGCTACAGTATTGTGAAGGAAGAAACATAATACTATAGGAGCAAAATACTGACTGTTTCAGTAGATTAGCAATCTTTACAATACTCTGAGGCATACAATAGAATGTGTTGCATCAGTTTACTTATTATAATAGATATATACCTTCCTCAATAAATGTAGCTATGCAGTAGTGAAGTGTGGTGTATTTTCAAGTAGGTCATGCAGGAATAATGTGTTTTAATTGATACCAACTAACAACTTAACTAGTACAATACACACAGAAAATAACTTTACACAGTAAATCACATTACTTGTTGATGAAATTCATTTGTTGATCTTTCTTCACCTTTTTTAGATAGATATGGAGGTGTTCTACATGTGTAACTGTCCTACTATTTTAATTCTGCATGGTGTCAGCTGTTTTGCTAGTCAGTGTCGCCAATTGCACAATATGGTTACAGTACAGTCGTGGAAGTGCTGATGTAGCACAGCGTTGATTGGAGAATGTGTTCTGCGATGACCATACTAGCCAGATATGACATAAACCAAATGATGTGCAAATGAAAAAATAACAGTTTTATGGGATGTAAATATTGTACTGCACACACTGTACAGTATGTAACAATGGAGGTATACAATATAATAGTTCTGAAAGTAGAATATTGCTGCCTATTGGTTTATTAACTCTATTTTGCCTTCTTTTTGGTACACAGATGCTGTTTCTTAGTGTACATTTTAGTGTGTCTGTGGACACTGCAATGGATATGATGTGCCATAACACATTGGTGCAATAATGTGTTCTTGTTGTCCTGCGGTGTCTTTTGTGTTTTAAGAGGATACAATGAGAGGATAAAACTGTACTATATGAGAAAAGTATTGCTTCCTTTTTATTTTTGTAAGTGCTTGAAAGTATTGAAGACAGTAACTAATTAAGTTATTGATTCCCCCAGGAGCTCATTGCTGAACAAATTGGAGATGGACTTAAAGGCATCATGGGAACACCATTTAAGAGAACAAGCAAATTTCTTACACACACAGTTTTCAACAGGTTTGTCTGCATGTGCATGAGGTGTAATTATCTTTCTTTTCCATTTCACATTTCTGGGGAATTCTTCCCACAAATACTTTATTAAGTTTGGTTTTTGTGCAGAGATGGAAAATAAGAGGAAGAACTAAAGATGGGGCATTTCTTTAAAAAAGTGTTTGAATTGAACTGTGCAAAGATAGAAAATAGGAGGGAGGAAGTGACCTGTTGATAAATGAGGAGATAGGATATGATGGAAAACAGTGGTACAAAGTGACAGAGACTAACTGAGCTATGTGAGGAACAGAAGAATATGAAACATGCACTGAGAGAAAATATAATATCAAGGAAAATATGTGAGGTAGCATCTCGCCCAGGTACCAGTACAAACAATTCAACATTTTAAATAAGTTTTTTATTTACACATGGCACTTTTACTAGATTATTAAAATTGAAGTCCTTTCTCCTCTTCTGGCATGAAACTGACCTCTTCTATCAAGGCTGTCATCAAGTCAAAATTCTCTTTCTAGCCATGCTGTTACATAGTTTTGATTTTTTTTTACATCTTTCCACTACAGCTATCACTCTGAGACTAATATTGTCCGCTACATGAAACGACTGGAAAATAAAGACATTTCTCTTGTACATAGCATGATACCGCTGGTAGGTATTTAATTAGAAATTTAAAAACCCATCCTTTCTCTTATAGTACTGTATTCTGAATAATTTTTGTTTTGTTCTGTGCTCTGACTCAGGGTTCTTGCACAATGAAGTTGAATAGTTCCTCTGAACTCGCAGTAAGTTTTTTGCTGTTCTCTCTAATGCATTGCTTTAATGAATTTCATCAATGTGACCTTTAGACAGGAATTAATGGGGAAAATAAACAAAAACAAAGAAGTTATAACGTTTCAGTATTTCTTTTAGCGCCAAAACTGCAAATCAGATTCATAAAACTTTAATTTAATTTGAGGGGTAGGGATTGCTAATGGATGTGGGGACTATGGAATATTACTAATGCATGATATTCTGACAACAAAAGTATTATATAGATCTTATTGCATTTGCAACACCTTGCAAATGACTAGGTAAGATCAACACAGCATTCTGGAAATTTTTGTCATTTGTTTTTTTTGGCCTTTTAATATTTAGTATTTAAATTTAAAACAAGAAGTCCAATATAAAGTATAATAAAATTATATTGAATCCCTAATAGAAGCTTGATGCATCCAAAGAGCTTGCAATGTTTGCCTCTCCCATACAGCAAAATAGAACATGTTTTAAGATAGTGAAAAAGACGTCCTTTTCAAGTACAGAAACCATTGAAATACTGAGTTTATTTGATGGCTGATATTTCTTTTGATAGCCAATCACTTGGAAGGAGTTTGCAAACATCCACCCGTTTGTGCCACTTGATCAGGCTCAGGGTTATCAGCAGCTCTTCAGGCAACTGGAACAAGATCTCTGTGAGATCACAGGGTATGACAAAATCTCTTTCCAGCCAAACAGGTGAGCTCTTCCTGGTAGAACTAAAACCCAGGTTCCACTTTAGCAATTACATTTTGTGTTTGTATATATTGTTGGGGTAGCAACTGCAAGTGCGTAATGTGGATTATGTACACTTCTCTAATGTCACTGAATGTTCATGGTTTTGAAACTTATCAAATTCCTTGGAAGAAAGGTATGGGATTACAACTTCTCTAAGCATTCACGCTACAATGTCCATGTTACACCATATAAACATTTAAGGTTCTTCAGTTCTTAAGGAACACCTTGTTGACTTATGGCAGACATTATGTGCCAGTAACTCACCTCTATAGTTTTGAAATGTTCGATGCTATCTTCAATGATCAAGTATTCAGGACCTTGGTTTTGAAAATTCTGATCCAGAGAGTAATGTCCCATCTACTGGTCCACCAACAACCCTTGCAGCACTAACTTGGGTTTTCCTTGAAGGTCTGCCATTCTAGTATTGAGCAAGAGCGAGAGAGTATCTTTTGTCATCTAACAAGATAAAATTACAAGGTGGTAACTTCCACTTGCTGCCAAAAGAAATCTTTACTGGAAATGTTTGTGAATGGATAGATTAACCTGATTAGCAGCCAGGAGACTGCAATCTGAAAGTAGCACCTTAGGCTTTCAGCCATCGTGGCTGATCCAAATTAAGATGCATGTATCCATACGCAAGGAGTTCTTTTCATGAATGTGAAATTCATTAAAGGTTTTAAAAGGTTTGTTCAAAGGGGTGCAAAACACAATCAGCTGATAAAGAAAGTCTACCAAGCTACAAAGCGGACACCACTATAATAAAAGTGTCTATTCTATCTTCCAAGACCAACTTCCTTGCCACTTCCTCTCTCTGATTTCTGTTCCACATCAAATCCCTTTGTGGTAAAATCACATGACAGTCACCCCTTTGAAAAGCTGATTTGAAACAGCTACAGATCTTTTCAGAAAAAATGTATTTTTTCTTAGTATTTAGAATACAGTTAAATGCCCAAAGATTTTTTCTCTTGGTCAGCAATAAAATACAGAGGTAGGGGAGTTGTGGATTCTAGTAATGTTCTCCAACATCATGCAGTAGTTTCAGGATGGCAACTTGTGGCTGAAACCTTTGTTTTTCAAAGTGATCAAGACTTTAAACACATTGCTGTCAAGGGGAGGCATGTATATACTGTAGTTTTGAGATGAATTGGTTTGCAATTAAGCTTTATTTTGGAGAGGATTCATGGTTTTTAAATAATGGGTATATCACATTTTAATTTCATTTATTTAAAATGGCATTTATCCCTACCTTACTTTCATGTGACTTCATGCGTGTCTGTGTTCAATTTAACTGCATAACTTCACATGTGGCATCCTTCGTAAGTGTTAACATGAACGTTTAGCTATGGATCTTGAGTAAGTGGTGGGACATGTATGTATGATCCAACAATTTCTCTATACTAGTTTGCTTTCAGATTTGCAAACTGTGTTGAAAGCAGTAAATGTACGTTCTTCTTTGTAAAATATATAATGATTTGTGTAAGAACAGATTATTCTCTTGATACTGACTTTCCTTCTTTCGAAATGTGTTTGGCAATCGATTTACTGTGGATGTTTGGCCTATTTTCAGGTACAATAGGACCCAGTTACTCAATGTTAGCCTTCAGATTTGTAGTCTGTAATATAGAAAGTGCCCTGTTCCACCTCCGGTACATAAATGTTCCTAGTTTGGGTGTCATGCCAATTGTTACTTAGTAATGGAATTTTAAACTTTACACAGTAATTTTTACTACCTTCAGATGATTTTCTGTTATTTATGAATTTGAGGAGTAGATTTACATGTGTTGAGACATAATGTGGCCTATCCAGTAATATACGGGATACAACAGATCTAATCCTGAGAAGATTTTACCAGCAGTAACAACAATTCTAAGTGGTTTTACATCAATAACATGAACTGACTGTAATTGCTATTGCCTGAGCCTTAGGGATTAAATAAGCACATATTAATGTAACATTGTTAGTAACCATTGAACTTATCTTGTGTACATACACATACATTTACTTTTGTAGATAGCATGCATTTTATTTGAAGTGTACATTTCAAGTATTGGAATTGAACACTCATATTAAAAAAAAATTAAACTGCAACACTTGGAAAAGAGTGAAATTCATCATATGCAGTATTTATCATAGATAAATATTTAGCTGCCATTATTGTACAGATATGAAAACTAGAAGCCATAAGCGTGGATATGAATAATCGTCATCATAAATACTTAAGCATCTTAAGCCTTTTAATGACTGGAATGAATTTTTCATTTTTGTGGATATGCAGTGCAGTTAGTGCTATAATAAAGTACCTACGGTTTCTCAAAATGGGAGTAAAGCTTTGAGCTGTATCATTGTGTACAGTGTGTACTTTGCACCCTCAACATTTTTAATCATATTAGTTTTTTTTTTGTTTTCCAGTGGTGCACAGGGAGAATATGCTGGTTTGGCTGCCATTAAGGCTTATTTAAATGCAAAAGGAGAGACCCATAGAACGGTGAGTCACAGAAACTCAAAATATTATTTAAAAATAATTTTAAAAATCAGCAAAATCCCTTGGGGGAAAAAATACATGCCCTATTATAGGTCATTGCATGATGCATGATGTCGGATCACTAAGTTAAGGAATAAGTGAGATGGATTTATTGAAATTTCACTTTCCTTTGCTTTTTAATTGTCGTAATGGGACCATGTTCTTGACTCATTTCTAAAACGTTAAAGCCGTTCCACTAATTGTAACTTTTGAATAGTTCCAAGAAGAAGAACACATGGTTCTCCTGTTTCTGTTAGGACAGGGACTATATTATGCTGTAGTACTTTAAAACCTCAACATTAATGAAAGTATATTCTGTTTTCTTTTAATAGTGCAGAGCTGTTCAGCAGAAAGCCATGTGCTTAAACTTCATTTCCTATTCATTTCCTAAACCATTTTTTGGTGATGTTTGGGTCTTTTGTAAATGTGAATAGAAAGAAAAAAAATAATACAGAGAATAGCTTGTGAGGATAAGTGTCTTCACTTTTCACAGCACAAATTTTGTATTCTCTTACAAGGTAGTTTCTCATGCTTTTAGGGGGGTTTACCTTATAAGTACTCCAGTCTCTTTGAGAGAGTCCCTCAAGTTACTGAACTAGTACAAATCCAGAGTCCAACGTACTGATTTTCAGCAAACAGAAAACCGTCAAGTCATTATGATGACTAGAGAGTGCTTGCCTTGAATATCTTGTATAAAATTCCATATTTGGTGATTTTTAAGATCCAGCAAGGTGCCACCTGGTGGCAGACATTTCTCATTTCTCTTTAAAAGGAAAAAAGCAATCAGCTGACCTTGTCTTACACAGAACATTATCAGTGCCCTCACTGGTCTTGCAATCCAGTTATGTGTTATTGATCATTTGAAGTACATTACTGATAGTGATCTGTTCATGTTATGTTTAAGATTTCTTTTAGTCTTACCAAGTAGTTGCATTGCATTTTCTTTTTTAAAATTGAAGGTCGTCTCCTTATGTTCACTTAAATTAGCAAATGTAAATGATTCACGAATGACTTGTCCATCTATTACAATAGGTGTACTGAATAATAACCAGTAATTATTACTTGCCCATGAACTTGGGAAACATTTTTAGTATGTTGTGTAGAAAACATGGAAACTTTCTCTCATTTTCAAAGGTTTGCCTCATCCCGAAATCGGCCCATGGAACAAACCCAGCCAGTGCCCAGATGGCAGGAATGAAAATCCAGTCGGTAGAGGTGGAGAGGGACGGAAGCATTGATGTGGCACACTTGAAGGCCATGGTAGGTGTCCACTTCCTGTTTTGCTGCTGTTTTATCCTGATTTTATATGTTTGATGGGACAGCTTTTCTTTTGGCATGAATACTTTTTATTTCACTAATAAATCTGATATTTGTATCCTGATTCTAAGAACAATAAGTATACCTGTTGGTTAGGATTTACCTTTTCCTTTTGTCCTGAAACCCCAAAACTGTGTCTATGTGATTTAAATTTACTTTATGGTTGGGATTATATGGAATTATAAGATTGATTATATGCAGACTATTTAAGTGTGTAACCGTCAACCCTGAAATGTGTGAGCTAACTGTTTATATTGACTTTATTCTTAGGTGGACAAACACAAGGAAAATCTAGCAGCCATTATGATTACCTACCCTTCCACCAATGGTGTTTTTGAAGAGAATGTCCGTGACGTCTGTGAGCTGATTCACAAGCATGGAGGCCAGGTTTACTTAGATGGTGCTAATATGAATGCTCAGGTGAGAAATGCTGCAAACTCAATATGCCAATTACCATACTGTTAAGATAATAACTATACTTTGGGGCCGGCTGTACCTCACCCAGAACACCTGGTGGATCTTGTACTCTTACTGTTTTGAGTATTTGTTACAGGAGTTACCTATATAAAGAAAAAGTCAGTTCTTAGTTTTATGTAAATAGCAGAGTCTTACAATTTATAATTTATAACAATATGCAAATATTTATTTGTAAGGTTAAATGATAAGCTTTGTTTATTTTGAAATAATAATTGCTTACACTTATATAGCACTTTTCTGGACACTCCACTCATAGTGCTTTACAGGTAATGGGGACTCCCCTTTAGCCATGTTTGCTATTTCATCTACAGTATGAGTTTATGAAAATTATACTTTGCCTTTCATTTTGAATGAAAATCTCCACATTCCGAAGGACAAACAAAGTAGAATCCATATCGTGCAATGGACAAAGATATTTTGGGCTACAACTAAAATGGATAAAATTAGTTTTAATTCGTTTTAGGGAGCAGTTTACAATCAGAAAAGTAACTAAGTAATTTAAGATTTTCATATTAACGTTTTCGTGATCCGTGTTAATTAGCTCATTATTAAATTCCCGCTTTTCTATATAAAGCTGAGGCACTGCTTTGATGGCACTTTGTCATTTTTTCCCCACAAGCACCCTTTCACTTGCACTTCTGTCTCACTCCACATTTTTGTTTGCTGAGCTAGACAGTCTTGTCTGCATTTATGTTGCAGCCCCATGACTGCCCTGAAGCCCATTTTTTTATGAGGCTCGCTGTTTGGTTTCCTTGTACCTGAGTCGTCTCCCTTTTATTTTTCTCTCTCTTTTCAGGGTGCTTGTTATTCAGTTTCTCCATACCCAAGCCTCTCTAATTTTTTCTGACCCACAGGCTCAGTGGCATTTTTTTTTCTGAAGCCCGCACTTTACTCTGCGCAGCTTTTCCTTTTTCAGGATGTTCACTGTTCGGTCTCTCCGTGCCTGAGCCTCCCTGTATTTTTCTGGACGCTTGCTATTTGGTTTCTCTGTTCCAACGTCACCTGGCGCACACAGCCAGCCTTCGCTCAGCACAGCAGTTTCAGCAACTTCAAGTCTGCCCTTCTACCCGTCTGGCTCCTTTCCCAGGAAGCTCGCAGTTTGGTTCCTCCCATACATGAGACTCACTGTTTTCTACCCGACGGATTCTGTGTGGCAGCATCCCGGCTTCCAGTCTTTGATCTCTGCTCCAGCCTCTCCTCCAGCGTGGCTAGTGCCCCAGCCACGTCTCTGAATCACCTGACACAGCAGCTCCAGCTCTTAGCCTGCACCCCAAATCACCTGAGGCAGCAGTCTATACTCTAGCCAGCACCTTTAATTTTCAGTTTCTCTTTTCATTGGTCACTCCCTCAACCCTCCGGTTTGCTGATCTGCACCTGGCCCGTTCGGTTCCTTTTTTTATGGGTCTTGCCCTTTCCAACAGGCTGTATTCAGCAGCCTTTCTTTTTGCCAGGGTTGCAGCAAAAAGCCTCTCCAGCCTCTCCTGGGATCGATGTTTTGCCCGTTAGTGACAGACCTGGGCTGATTAGCCCCACTGGCCAGTAATTCATTCTCATAATCACCTTTCACTTTCCACTCTCCGGTCTTTTGCGCCTTGGTTCTGACAAATCGCCACCTGCGCGGCTGTATCCAGCCACAGTATTATATCTACTTTAAAAGACATGAGGCATTATTGAACATTGAATTCTTCTTCAGAGTACTTGGTGTTTTGTATATTAGTATCTATTTAAGTGCATAAGGCTATACTAGTTCTGCTTCAGTTGTGTAACAGAAGTGGTTGGCTGAAACCAGTACAAGAATTGTCACAACTAAGAAGCTGAGCTATACCAGTTAGGTTTAAGTAAACCGAGCCCACCCTCTTCAACACTGAAGTTTAGCAATATTAACTCTATGCTTTTTACCTTAATTGTGTTGAATAATTTAGTTTCAGTAAAAAATTGTTTCATTTAGTTTTCACCCTACCATAAAAAGATAAATTGGTAGTTATTACACCAATACATATCTAAAACCAGGACAGGACCCCAGCATGTAATCCTTTTCTGTAATGTCATTTACAGTTGTCACAGTTAGGAATAATTGAAAAATAATTGGTAGTTTAATTTTTATTGGTTGTACTTTACATTACTTCATCTGATGTATAGTGGACATCACTGTACAGAAATTGTGCTTAATGGCCTCACCACTGAGTATGTAAGTTCTTGATGCTGTTTTCCAGGGAAAGAGGAAGCTCTCAGATGAAGTGATCTCTGAAAGACAATTTAAAACAATGGCGGACTGTCTCTTGACATGATTGTCTCTTGACAAGTTACATAACAAATGATTAATCCCAGAAAACAACCCATGATTAATCCCATGAATTCTACAAAAGTTTACAATTTAAAATGTGCTAACAGTTTTACAATTTTAACATACGCTAACAAAATGTATTACTGAAGTGTGTTTCAACTTTAAAGTCAAGCCAAGAAAAACTTAATTAATTTTATACACACTTTAGTTTTGGAAAAGCCCGAGTATTGCCCTGCCACAGTCCTGACCTCTGCTGACCAGAATGTAATTTGTATTGAATGTGTGCTTGAGTGTTAAAATCCTGATGATAAACATGCTTAGGGGGAATATTCTCTTTGCAGTAGTGTCAAACTTGCAAAAGGGAGGTACATGTATCTTTTTCAACAAATCCTTTTTTCTAAATAGGTGTCATGTAATGGAGACCCCCTGAAGGCCATTAAGGTGCATGCATGTGTCAGATTAAACTCACACCCCCGGGCATTTATTTTTCATTTTCTTGTAAAGATTAAATCATCTTTCACAATGTTTGTTTTTATACAGGCTCATTTATTTTCAACACCCCTTATCTAAGGAAGGGAGAGTTACTCTGGCATTGGAATTATTGGAATTGTTAGATAAAGGGAGATAAGATCTGTTTACCCTCAAGCTGTGTTGGCAATGATTAGGTTGTCTGATAAGCAGTCCACAATTCGGTGGAGACACCAGACCAGATGACTGACCACTTATGAAGCAGAAAATTCTTGAATTTCACCATTCAAGCTTACCTGACCACTATATTTTAAAAATAAAACAAAAGAGGAGAGCAGAGATAACACAGAAACAGAAGCAGTGGAAGAAGTCCTATGTGATTGTTTTTTAGAAGTGCACAGAACATGTGCTTTAATTTGCGGTCTCTCTGGGAAATATTTCAACATTGTATTAAATAACTCTCTGGCTTTATGTAGCTATTTGCACATCGACGATAGACTGGAATGGTCTAAGAACATCGAGGCCATTTATAAGAAGGGGCAGAGCCGACTTTACTTCTTGAGGAGGCTCAGGTCCTTCAATGTATGTAGTAAGATGCTACATATGTTCTATCAGTCGGGGGTAGCGAGCGCCATTTTCTACGCAGTGGTATGCTGGGGCCCTGGGATTAAAGCAGTGGATTCTAAAAGGCTGAACAAGCTCATCAGGAGAGCAAGCTCTGTCATTGGATCTGACCTGGACCCCTTGGAGGTAGTGGCTGAGAGGAGAATGGTGTCCAAACTAGAGGCCATCATGGACAAAGTTTCCCATCCCCTCTATGACAGGCTTGTAGAAATGAAGAGCATGTTCAGCAATAGAATGATTCATCCACGGTGCGACAGGAGGTCATTCTTGCCTTCTGCCATAAGACTGTACAACGCATCCACCTTGCGTCTGGGCAGAGGCAACATTGACAGTGACCTGTTTCTGGACTGAACAGTAAACTGCTACATCTGTTCTTTTTCTTTTCCCGTTTACAACCGTTTTTTGTGCAATATATGCCAGGGACCTGTGCAATACATTTATATTTATATCTATATTTACATCTATATTTATACTCATATGTGCAATACAATTTTTCTGCGTACTGTTCTGTTCTAGTTTGTTCTTTGTGTGTCCTGGACTGTGAGTAACTCTTTTAGTGCACCCATCACTGTACTGATTGTATTATTATTATTATTATTATTATTATTATTATTATTATTATTATTATTATATCATTCATTACACTGTGGCTGTGTTGTCTGTTTTAAGCTGCTGTTGCACTACAATTGCCCTCATGGGATCAATAAAGTATCTATGTGAACCAACTCTGAAACAAGCAATGTCATGAGCAACAAGAAGGAGAAATTTAGCTTTGATATATTCAGAACTCATTACAATAAATGGATTGCCATTCTGGGAATATGATGTATCTTCCAGTTTCTCATTGAAATGTTGAATGTTTTGTCCAAATGCAGTGAAAATCACAGACCAAAAATGGAGTGACAGTACAATCTTTATTTATCATTCACAAAGCAAAACATGAAAAATAAATAATTTTGATTTTAATTAATAATCTTGAATTTATAGCAAAGGTTAAATTAAAGTAAATGATCTTTTTAAAAGTAGCTCTTTTTAATAAATTAATACATTTGTACATTGGTTTCTTAACATGCCATATGCTTAACTAAAGTGTTGAAATCTTAGTAAATTTTATTTATGAAAAAGTTTTTGATTTGGGAATTGGTTTTCTGCATGTGGTAGCATAACAATGGTGTGAGCATAATACATGGAACATCAGGCAAAATGAAGGAGAAAGTATTTCAAGTGTTGTACTTGTCTTTGTTTTGCACTTAGACATTTCAGACAAGTCAGATTTGTTTTGATGGTGTGTAGACATTGTACAAGTTAAATATAAACAGTAACACCAGACACAAGTTCTGTTGTATATTCAGTCATAAAGCAGAAAATCCTTAAAACAGAAAATACTTCATTTACAGTGCACTGCTGACACGGTTATTGGACTGTTTGTGGCACAATAAGGTCATTTTGAGCTATGAACCTATTCACAAAAAGTGATCTACTAAGTGGAAAACTGTCAGTGGAGAGGAGATTCAATTTAGACCAGCTACTGGTCTAAAGACAAGGCTGGAATCTTTCTCCTTTATCCCTCTAACTTAACATTTCAGGAAGTATAAAGATTATTCTCTGAACAACTACAGCAGAGTTGTATTCAAGCATCAGACCTGATCAAACACCAAACCATTCCCAATCTACATTATTTCATAAAAAATGAAAATTTAGGTCATGACAATTACAGGAGATGTTTAATAGTGAATCTTCTGTAATTTGATTCAACACATTATTACTTGTGAGAATGTATAGAAAACAAGCAACGTTTTATGTATGTTTAGTAATTCACTGATCTTATTCACTGATATTGCCTAGGATTCAGAATGTACATCTTCTGTTTTCTCTTTCACATGTCCTGTAACACCACATGTCAGGCAGAAATATTTCAAATTTCTTCTTTAGTAGAAGTTTGTGAAATAGAACTTGTAATTTCATTAGTTCAGAGTTGTAGTACTGCAATTTACTGTATTGTCAAGAGACAGGGTTGCTTAAGTTCAGTATGATAAAAGTAAGTCCTGTTCTGTTCTTATCTTTTACATGTATATTCCTGACATAGTTATAGAAATTAGTGATTTTTGTCAATGGTCAGTGAAACCACTGCAGATACCATGCTTTTACTATGTACATCTGAACCTCTGCCCTATTTCTTTGAGGTGAAGTGTCTCCATTTATTGTGTTTCCTGTGGCAGGTGGGCCTGTGTCGCCCGGGAGACTATGGCTCGGACGTCTCTCACTTAAACCTTCACAAAACCTTTTGTATTCCTCATGGTGGGGGAGGCCCAGGCATGGGTCCCATTGGAGTGTGAGTATCTGGTTGCCTTTGTGGGGCTTAAGCATATTAGTGCAACTACCTCTCCACTTCAGAATGGTCGTAACTATTGTATTTTCTTGTTTTCATATCCATTTTGCTTGTGCAACTGTATACATTATGAAACATAATTTTCATTGTTTTGAAAATGTGCTGATTCACATTCAACTACTTTAGGCTCATTTCCATACTATCCCAGCTCTCAAATTAAAGGTTAATTCAAATTGCTTGAATTGAACAAGAAAAGAGAAGAAAAAAAAACAACGTTCTGGCCGTGGAGCCTTCTTCAGTTGAAATTGATTTTGAATCTTTGCTTTTCATCATATATTTTCCTAAATTACATGTTGTCTACCATGTTGCCTGTTTGCCCATTTAATTATTTCACCACATTGTTCTGAAGATGGAAATGTTGCGTTAAGATAAATATGTTTCATAAGTAACCTCTATTAGCTTAGCATTTTCAATTTTGTATTAAAAGTTTGTTTTTCCAACCCACACAAACAACCCTCCACTTGTTTACATTTAAAACCCATCTTCCAGGCTTTTGCCCTGTCTTGAATTTTATCTAAATCTAGGATCCCACACCGGAGTTTTTAGTGACAGAGGATGATCAAACCTTTTACTGAAGATATGTATTTTAGGATAATTAAGATGATTAATTATGGATTAAGGTGAAATCCTAGGATTAATTTACTAAACCACTAGTAAAATGACAGTGTGATAGGTAGGGAAGTACTTCCCCTTTTTAGGTAATCATTTCATATTGAGAATTGCATTGAATTTGTGCTTTTCAGAAAGAAACACCTTGCTCCGTACCTACCCAGTCACCCGGTTGTTTCTCTCCAGTCTGACAATACTGCTCAATCTCTTGGCACCATCAGTGCTGCACCTTGGGGTTCAAGTGCAATTTTGCCCATTTCCTGGGCATATATTAAGGTAAATTAATTTCTTTTTCAAAGAAAGCACCATGCTAGTATTTAAATTATACAGGATTATGGTCCAAAAAGATAAGCATCTAAACAGGTCTCCATACACTGGCATCTGCTCCAATAATCATTTCAGCAACAGTTGTTCAACAAAAATGTTTTGTTTAAAGTATACTGGAATGGATCTTTTGTTTTTTAGTAAGTCCTGAATAACTGAATAGTATTTTCTTTTAATGCTCACATGAACTGTTAAAGATAATAAAAATTGTACCACTGCCTGCATATTTTTCTTCCTGAAATATAGATGATGGGAGCTAAAGGACTGAAACATGCCACAGAAATTGCCATACTAAATGCAAACTACATGTCAAAGAGGCTTGAGAACCACTACAAAGTGCTTTTCAGGGGTAAAAGAGGTAAGCACCGTCTTAATGTCTCTTCCATAACAATTTCAAAAACACTCTATTGAGAACCAATTTTTGTAAGATTCCTCCCTCCCAAAAATAGATTTTTAATCTTTCTGAGAAATAAAGCAATTCTTGAAGACGGAAGTGAAGACGGATCAGGAGAAGGGTATAAAAAACCCCTTTGAGCACAGTAAACCTGATCATTAGGAAATGAAAAGTGTATCAACAGAACTATGTAAATATTGCTGTCCCTCCAAACTGAGCAGCAGGCAAGGAGGAAACTGGTTAGAGATGCCAACATTGAGCCAATGATAATTTTGAAAGAGACAGAGCTCAGTGGCCAAGATGGAAGAAAGAGGTCAACAGTATTGCAGTTACTCTATTGAGTTTGCAACACAAAATTTTTAATTGATAATGCACATATATGAAAGCTTCAATTTTTATAATCTCAGGAAGTGCTACTTGTTAGGAATTTTAAATGTTATTCTGCCGCCTTGTAATTCTTCTTTTCTAGTGCTAGGGATGCACAAAAATGTACTTAAAAGAATTAAGATCCTGAATGCAGTTAATCCTTTTTTCAAATTTGTAGATAGTTTTTAATCTCTGTGTGATGGGTCCTTACTAAAGAATTATTCATAAATACAGAATCTGCAGTCCATTTTTATTATATACAGTCATGCTTAAAAATATGTGAATCTATTGCATAATTTGAGATTATTTTGTTTTTTTAACCTCAAAATGCGATTTTATCAGAATTTGTAACTTCCTAATTGAAATAAAGTATAATTATTCACCAATTTGAGTGTTTTGAAAGAAAATGTCCATGCAGCAACATAATACACACAGTATACAGAAATTGTGCAGGTGCAAAAATAAGTGAACCCTTAGTTCTATGACTTACATCAATGTAAAGCAGGATCAGGTGGGTCAATGACAGAGTGTTGATAAATTAACCAAGATAACCAATGAAATTTTAGATCTGAAACGTGTTAGGAGCAAACAAATAATTGCAATAAAGCAGGTCAGTTACTCTTCCTACGAGTCTAGCATCATGCTTAAAACTAATGAAACATCAGCGGAACTGAGGAAAAGTAGTGGATGCTCATCAGTCTGGACAAGGTTATCAAACCATTTCAAAAAGATTTGGACTCCATAAATCCACTTTTAGGCAAATTGTATACAGGTGAAGGGGGATTTAAAACAATGGCATCCCTGCCAAGAAATTGACGTCCCCCTACAATTTCACCCACAAAGAGAATAATAATAAAAGAGGTAAAAGGTCATCCTAAAATAACATGCAGAGATCTACAAGCCTCCCTAGCTGCCTCTGGAGTAGAGGTGCAAAGATCAACAATAAGAAGAACCCTGAACAGAAATGCCATCTATGGAAGGGTCGCCAGGAAGAAGTTTGCCAGAGACCACCTGGACAAGCCTGAAGAGTTCTGGAAGTCTGTTCTCTGGACAGATGAGTCCAAAATTGAACTATCTGGGCAAAACAAGAGGTCCCGTGTTTGGCGAAGAGCCAACAAGCCTACCACCAACAAAACCTGTCAAGCATGGTGGTGGCAGTGTCCTTGTATGGGGCTGTTTTTCTTACTCTGGCCCTGGGCAACTTGACATCATTGAGGGAATCATAAATTCTGAGAAATATCAAGGAATTCTTGAGAAAAATGTCAGTTAGAAAACTCAAGCTGGGCACAAAGTGGATGTTTCAACAAGGCAACAATCCTAAACATTCAAGTAAGTCCACTAAAGAATGGGTTAGGAAGAAGAGGCTCTGTGTCCTGAAATGGCCAAGCCAAAGCCCTGACCTGAATCCTATTGAAATGCTGTGGCAGGACCTGAAGAGAGCTGTTAATGCAAGACATCCTTCAAACCTCACAGAGCTAGCGGAAGTTTGTAAAGAGGAGTGGAAAAAAATCCCTCCAGCAAGATGTCAGAGACAGATAATTGGTTATAGGAGGCCGCTGTGTGAAGTTATTGCTGCTAAAGGAGGTAAAGTTATTGACTGAAAAGGGTTAATTTACGTTTGCACACAAGAATATCTGGTGATTTGTTAAATATCACAGTCTGATAATCTCTTAGTTCAAATCCCTTTTTATGTGTGGGAAGTCTTTATTTAGGACATTCATACTATATATTCATTAAGAGTTCAGGGTCATATAAAATATCTCTATAATATCTAAAATAATTACCACAAACTTTCAAGCATGACTGTACTTTGTTTTAATATAGAATAACCCACTTTGGCATAGCCACTTGCCTCTGTTTATCTCGGCTCACAGCAATGACCCAGGTATCCACATGGGGAGAATTAAAAGCTCCCCTTATCAGTCATCTATGGAGACATTAATATTTACATGCTGCAAACTCATAAGAGGGAACTCCTATTGAAAGGAAGGTACATCATCCATCAACTTCACTATGAGTCAGCAGGCACCTAGGAATCCTTGGCGAACTAATCCTAGCCATGTCCTGGGTGGCACTAACTCAATTACACACCACCTAATGGGAGTTTGCGGTCACAGTTGGCTAGCAACATAATCCAGGCTCAAAATCAAGATGTTTGGATTGCAGGTCTGTTATGTTGTGTCTTCGGACTGTGAACCTTTACTGTTTGAACCTTTTTCCCCATGTTAAATATGCGTTTTTGAAAGGTTTCTGAAATAAGATCAAATTAATACTAGGAAAATAATTAATACTTTAAAGTAAAATTAGTACTATGAAAATATGCCATACTTTGTCTTAAAATTCTACAGTGTATTGACTTTTCAGAACAAACTAATTTCATCTCTTCACATTATTTCCGTCACTTTTCTTTATTGCAGATTGTGTTGAGTTGGAGTCTTTTAATGTTTGCATTTCAATTTGTGTTTAATTTCAGTAAAGATAATGTTCCCAAGCTCAAAACCGCATTCTTTCTTGGTAGGTTGTGTGGCTCATGAGTTCATCCTTGATGTGAGACCATTCAAAAAATCAGCCAACATTGAAGCTGTGGATGTGGCAAAGAGGCTGCAGGATTATGGTATGATGATGACAGCTGCTGAGCAGGGGCTTGCTGTTCACACATATATAAAATAAAAATTAACTTTCAATAACTCTAAAATTGTACTTAATCCTAGTGAAACTAATGGTGACAATGTATTTTTTTTCTGACTTAAAAAAACGACAAACCCTATAAAAAAACGTTTTAACCATTTTTATCTTTGACATCCTGGACAAGAAAATGCCACTCTTGGCCTGAATTCTTTTAATATACTTATTTTCTTGACTTTGACTCATTGCAATGTGTGGTACCTTAATATCGGTATACGCTGTAATATACAACTGTGTAACATCTTTAAACTACTGCGACTGTCGCACATTGTGTGGACATTCAAGAAGGGGCATGATTCTGCACACACTGTGCATGTGATGCTAATGAACTGTGTTGGGAGGTAATGAATTCTCATTTCAGTCCTAACTCTCAGATCCTTCGTTCATGCAGGTTTCCATGCTCCCACAATGTCATGGCCAGTGTCTGGCACTCTGATGATTGAGCCCACTGAGTCAGAGGACAAGGCTGAGTTAGACAGGTTCTGTGATGCCATGATCAGCATCAGACATGAAATTGCTGAGATTGAAGAGGGAAGGATGGACTCCCGAATTAATCCTCTAAAGGTCTGTAATTATTTGGAGATTGAACATATTTTTTAAACCCACTTGACATTTTTTGTGAGTTATGGTTGCTTTTTTTTTAGTTTAAAAAAAAAGATTATGACCAGAAATAAGCACTTTAATCTGAACCCAAAATATTTTTTCTAGGAACAAAAAACATTAATGGACAGAATGGGGAGTTACGGGTCTCAAATATTAGTCTAATGAATATTTGGTAATTGGAAGAACTTCTAGTCTGGACCATTACTAGATGGCATATTGTTTGCCATAATAAAACCATATAAGGAATTTAAAGTTGTACACACATGTCTTTGTTCCTTATCTGGAATCTGCTTCACAAGTTAGTAGTTGGAACTGATTAACTTCACAATAGTATCCACATGGGTATAGTCCCAAACTATAAACTATAGTGCTGACCAGCCAAAAAAAAATGAAGCTGAATAAAGTTGTAATAAAGTTGAAGAGAGAGGTTGTAACCTGTGTGGTTGTAGAATATGTGGAATTTGTGAGCAGGTGCCATTTCTACTCTGCACTGTAGCTTAACATGAGTTTTCATTCTAGATGGCACCTCACACTCTGGCCTGCATTGCCTCTTCTAATTGGGACAGACCCTACTCCAGAGAGGTTGCTGCATTTCCACTGGTAAGTACCTCTCTGGCTGTAATTGAAATGCTATGGCCCTAATTTGGATAAACTGGAGAAACTATACTTTCAGAAGACTCAAGAGCTAAAATGTGCTTTTCTAGTTACCATTTTATTTTTAAATTAACCTCTACTTGTGCTTTTGCAGCCTACTGTATATACTGATACAGTCATTGTGCTACAGTAGCTCTTGAGGGAGTGGCGTGTGCTAAGGGAGATTTTGAATAAGAGTAACATAATAAAACATGTTTGCACTTAATCAGTTACTGCAGAGTAAAAGAAGGTATCCAGTCATGAGCTAACATGGTCTTTTGAAAGGCTTTTTATTAGAACCATTGGACATTCAACTCTTGCCTTCTGCATCTTGCAGCAATCATGAGGAGGCATCATTATTCAAGTGTTGATACAGTAGATATAGATATACAGAAGATCAAGAGTCCAGCCCATGTGAGGCAGGGAAAATAAGTATACTGTATACATCAAATGACATTGTCCCCCATGGAAAAAATTGAAGGCATCTTCATTGCTGTACTGTATAATAATATCTATCATTACTAGACACTATGAAACGCATGTGTATTGTATTTGATAAATACTGAACTGTTACCAGCATACTGTGTTTGATTATGTAAAGCATGACTTAAGAATGAAAATACAACTTGCAGTGTATTTTACTGTGTATCTTCTAGTATCTGTCTGAAGTCCCTGGCAGATATTGTCATTGCTAATATTAAGTTATAGTTGATATACATATCTACTCATTGTTTTAAAAAGACAAGGGTTGTCCTTATTAACCTCTTACCAGGTATTATAGTTACTATTTTGTCTCTATTTTCCTCTTAATGTATGTTAATTTGCCATTTTCTTGTGTTCTTGAACAGTTCATGGTCTTTTTGCCTATTTTTGGTCAATGTTTTTTCCAGAACACCACACTGAGTAATGAATGAACGTCTCTTCTTCTCTGGCTTTTTCAAAATACAAATACAGGACACTAAAGCACTTTATGCCATCATCAAAATTACTTTACAAGAAAATGTTAATGAATCCATGCCTTGGCTGTGTTGGCACTGGCAATGATCCCATGTGCAAATCATGGTTCCAAAATTATATTGAAATGTGATCAAGACTGTCTTACATTTGAGCTTAATAATTGGGCATTAAAACATTTTGTTGAGTTAAGAAACCCTTCTTTGAGAACGCAGATGGAGAGATCAGTGTAATCAGTGTCTCCTAGTCTCCTTCCAGTTTCCCCAACGTAGATGGCTGGGCATTTCCTGCAAGAGATACAGTAAATGAGGTTGCTGGAGGTACAGGATGCCATCTGGGTGATCCAGAATTGTCCTGAGGGGCCTTGAATGAGTGTGGTGTTCGATATGTACTTGCTAGTGATGCAGCGAGTTCTGTTGCAGGGGAAAGTGCCTGGTGTGGATGATTGCCGAGAGCTGTCAAGGGAGCTGTGAACAAGAAGGTTACGCAGATTAGGTGGTCTGCAATATAAGATGATGGGGCAGTCAGAAAAGAGGGACCTAGTGGAGGGACCAGGGGATTATGTTAATGGTACCCATAAATGTATACAAGTAATGTTAAGTCTTTAAAAAAACAGCATCTCAGCACTCTGCTCCCCTAACGTTCTGACCTCAGAACTAGAATGAAGTATGCAATTTTATAATGCTTATCTTTTTCAATCTTCCTCATGCTGATATTTGGTGTTTGTGTTGTTTTTTTCAAATTAACATGTGAGAACACACTAGCTCTTGTTTATGGTTTATTGGGCTTGTATTTGAGCTTGTGTTCTTTAAAATTCCCCAGCCTTACAAAACATATTAAGGAGAATATTAAACATTCTTTTCCAGCCATTTGTGAAACCAGAGTCCAAGTTTTGGCCAACAATTGCTCGGATAGATGACATTTACGGTGACCAGCACTTAGTCTGCACTTGCCCGCCGATGGAAGTTTATGAATCGCCATTCGAAGAGAAAAGGGTCTCTTCATAAAAACTTGTTTGCATAAGATGCCGAAAAGCTGCAGCATTTGAACTTACTGCATTTCTGGAACTGTGGGAGTTCTTCAGCATTTACAAGACTTGGTTTATATTTTTTCCTTTGGTGCCATTTTCCATTGATGTGCACTTGGTGCCTCAAGTTTTTATTGCATACTGTATGAATAGTTGCCTTGACATGTTATTTGATCAAGAACTACTGCTTTAGGAATGATTTCAGTGTAACATATTTTCTTGTTATAGTTTTTTGGCATTCAAGACATTAGATATTGGTGAATTTTACTTCTGTTTTGACTATTGTGTGATTCAACCACATAATGCATTTCTAAGAATAATTGTATTCATTTTTTTATGGGGATAATTCATTTAACAATTTTTTAATATTCTTTGTAAATAGAGCTTAAACTGCTTGTAGCATTCCAATAAAATATGTTTTGAAAAGATGGCCTTTTATGTGATCATGCAAAATTAACGGGATAGCAAACTCTAAAGGATACCAAGAATAAATGCCTATGACATACATATTTGCATATTTCATTACATTTCAGAATTAAAAACTGAATTTGTGTGGCAAGATTGTGTGTAAGGATTTATATTTAGAATTCCATTCAGGTGTTTCATCCTTAGCCTCTAGATTTTCATTGATGTACCTCCTGCAGTAGATCACTTTAGGGTACATGACTTACTGGAATTTCAACAGCTTTTGAATGTGTGAAAATGCCACATTAAAGACCAAAATGTGAAAGTGTGAAGTGGAATCTACTGGAATATATATAAACAATATCTAAAATATTTTCATTTGTTTGTAAAAGAATAAAAAAGATTCTTTAGGCTCCTGGTAATGTATGCAGTGGACAAAGAATAACAGTGGTTGCTGCTCAAAAATAGGTGGGGTTGCTGATAATGTCACAGCAGCACAAGCAACACAAGGGTTTAAACAAAATTCACGGCTAAGTATACTCTTGACAAATTACATTTTAATGTGTACAAGAGCAGCATATTACATGCAGGAAGCAAGAATGTGCTTTTCAAATTTCAAATGGGAAGCATTGAGCAAGAAGAAGAAATGCATGAGGAATAGCAGGAGATTGTTGACTTCATTCAATAAGGCAACATGGGGAAGCAATAAAAAGGTAAGTAATATTCTTAAATATGTCCTTAAGAGAGTGGACTTTTAATCAAGGGAAGTAATTTTACAAAAATACAATCTGCTATTTGGAATAATGTGTTGATTTCAAACAGTATTCTACAAGAATATGACGCTGTTCTAGAGGTAGTTTAACATGGAGCAACCAAATTGATTCCTGGTCACAGACTGGGGAATCATAGACTGGCCCAGTACATGCAAGACCGCATTTGGATTTAATTCTTTCAAATCATTTAACTGATGTTAGTGGCTCCTCATCAAGCAACATCAGTAGGATAAAACTGTCTCTAAACTGTGCCTGAGTATCTCAATCAGAATCAGAATCCCCCCTAAATTGTGGCCAATTAACCAATTAAGTTGTCAATTACTGTAGATATATTTTTTAAATATTGAGTATAATGTTTTAAAACAAAAACATAATACAAAAGAAGAACAATATTTCCTTACGTGTTCAAAATCATGAAAGGCAACAGAAGGACCCAGCAAAATAAGTGTAAAGTTTAAGGGTATTTGTGACCAAAAAAAGGAGATGCTTCCATTGCAGAGTATTGTGAGAGTCTGGAAAAAAAACCCTTGTCATATGGTTGATTTGGTCTCATTTGTGTTGAACATTGAAGTTGAACAGGTAGTGTTGCTATCCTGAGAAACTGAAAATATGGGCAGTATGTGCATACATAGAATGAATCATGTAGAAGTACCACTTTAAAACTATTACTAAATGTATTTCAACAGATTATCAAGTTACCTGAGTTCAGTATTTCTAATAAAGCTTTCAGAATCTAGAATATGTCATATATTCAGAGGTCACAGAGGTCTGACTGTGGAAGACTGGAGTGGACTTTAGCATGGATACAGGGGTTAAAATACTCTCATTGTGATAAATATTGTCCCGGAATATTTAATGTTAAATTCAGGACCTCAGTTTGACTCATCCAAAAGCACACCACTTCCTACAGCATGCTGCCCTGTTACTATTTGAATTGTATATTTAGTTCATGAAACATTGTGTAGTCAGTAAAAAGATGAGCACTGTTTTATGATCTTCCATTATTAACTTTATAAACAATGAAAAAAATACAAAATCAGTACAATAAATTATTCCAGAGAACAAATAAATACTCGTAATAGCCACAAGAGGACTCACCCCATATTAGACTTGCTGGGGAAAGTGATAGGCCGTAGCCACTAATTTGCATCATAGTGCACTCTTTAACAGCCTCAAACTTCAGGTTTCAACTGAAATCATTAACTGTTGCTGTCCTTTTGACAATCGGTGATTAAAGGGAGTCCACACAGACAACAGGCAGGTCAACAGTGGTTTTTTTTACTGGTTTATATCCTGCTACATCTGTTCTTTTTTTCTTCCAACATACAATGAATCACTAAATACAAACTCATAACTGGGATTAAACTGAATATCTCATAAGGGCCCTTATTTTTCCTGGGGCATGCTGTAGGCAAAATGCATAATCCATATTAAAATAACAGATTGGTTTTTGCCCAGATTAAACATGACTAATGTCAGGCCTTGTGACTGTGGAAGGATCAATTCGGTTTCCCAGGTAGCAAAAGGTAGACCTTTTAAAGATATCCTTTAACAGCCAACCTGTTAATCCACTTCATTGCAAGAATTGTGGTCTTCAGTCCTGTAATTTAAAAAAAAAAGTACTGGCAAAGATCTACACAATAATAAGCAATACAGCAATTAAAGTTGAAATGGACTAAACTGGAACAGGTACTCTGGCTTTGGGCGTCACTGTGTTTAGTAGCACAAAACCACTCTCAACTCTTTAAATTATTTCTGTGACTCACAAAAAACATTCTTTAACCATTTTGTTTTACTTTTGTTTACGTCGTCCAACCATTGTAAGCATTAAAAGTTTTCCAGACAGGTAGGAGACTGGATATTTTTTTTTGTGAAGCTCAAAAAAGGGATGGGAAATTAGGTTGTCGAAAGTTATCATTCAACAGTTTCATCATATGACAGCATAAGATGATGCAAATAAAAAAAAATGAGTATTGACTGTTTGAAACATATAACAGTTCTCTGATTAGAGAACTCTCTGATTAGAGGTCACCTGTGTTGAATACATGTGATTATTTCCTATCAGAATACCAGGAAAAATGTACCTTAAGGTAAAATAAGCACTATTAAGGATTTTAAAGGCAGCAGATGAAAAAGAAATCCATTCAACTATTACATAGTTTTGACTGTACACTTGCAGAAAGTGACTGAAAGTGACGGAGTAGGAAGATACAAGGTACGTTTTAAAATATGGATATGAACTTCCATTGTTTAAAGTGAGTGAGTTTGGAGAGAGGAACTAGGGCTTTGAAGCAGTGAATAACAGCATGTAATTTAGTTTTATTCTTTCAAAATAAATCTCATGTTTTTAATTTTCACTTTTCATACTTCTGTACTTTCTGTTTAAAACCCTAAGATAATTATATTTTTAACTCTTAGATTACTTTAAAAAAATACAGATATTTTAAAAACTTTCTCATTGTTCATCTACAGCTAATTAGTTCACTGTTTAAATGTTTATACAGCGGGAAACCTACAGGCCCTTAAATACTGGACTTGTGCTTTACTAGTATATACAACAGAAGGAAAAGATGGCAGTTCAGATCTTTAGAAGTCAAATCACTTATGAATGAATGGGTAAAGTCACCAATAAAAGAGACAGGCTTTTCTGGAATCAAAATATTTAATAGGTACATATCAAGTAATATACCATGTATAAAATTTCAGATCACAATATGAAGCAATGTAACCCTCTTCAAGCTGACTGCTGTAGGTAAGATCGCCACATACAAAGGAACTAATGATTAAAATATAATATGCAACTAAAATATATAAAAGTGGCATATTTAGTAGTAAAAGGAATTTAGACGTGACTTTTTTTTCTTCAGTAAGTGCAATAAAAACATACAACACAACACTAATGCAAGAGCAAAGCTTCAATTTGATCTCTAAACTGTTAGTAGTCGACTGTAGGGCACAAGAACGAAGAAAACACAGTGAAGCTCACAAAAGTTAGACTATTAGCTTGCCATTCGGTGCAGAAAAGAAGTACAGAATTATGAAGTCATAGCTGAAAAGGGGTATGCACATCACAGTTTTTGTAAGATATACTCATTAAAACATTATTTTGTATCCGTTAAAATGTTGTTGTATTCATTGCAAACAAAAAAATAACAGAACGGCAACAACAACAAAAAAGCATCTATGGATCGGGCACAAACTACCTGGAAGCAGCAAGGAGCTGAACTTCAATGAACCAAAAAACAAAACTGAAACCCCCAACCGATACCTTCTCCTGTTCCCTGAGGTAGTTGTGAAATCTCAAGCACCTGCTAAATTTGTGCTGCACTTGTTTTTCTTTTTATTTAGAATTTGACTGGCAGCTACTACCTGGGATACTGGTCTCAGAGATAGATGGTGTTGGTTGTGTGGAATCCAGTCTCCGATCAGGAGCAAAAGATACAGGTGTGGGGAGGTATGAGCTGTTGAACGGCTGTGGAATCCACTGCTGGCATCTCAGTACACGAATGGCAGGCCGGTGTGATTGAAGAGCTGGGTTAAGAACTGTCAGTCCATGTCGGTTGAGAAATGACAGCATTGCATGATCGTCTCATCGACCTTTGCTGTAGCCCGGGAAGAACTGGTCCAGCAGCGACTGAAGGATCTTGTTGAGAACCATGATGTAATCTTTCCCCAGGTCGTGACGACAGGCTGGACAGGTGTAGACCTCTGCACGGAAAGACCTCTGCAGGCAGGTCTAGTTCAAAAAGAGAGAATGGACATGGAGAGGTTAGATTCATACAGTGAAATCATATAGCATGGAGAGGTTAGATTCATACAGTGAAATCATAGTTTTTAGAGGATTGTTACTGATGGTGACATAAACTTTCAACCTAACCCATCTCTTTATATAGTTTCTACAGCAGGGGTGCCCAATCCAGGTCTGGTTTGGAGGCATGTTTGCCAGTTTTCTAGGTGTCTAAAGCAGCAGCATCTGAGGAGCTCGGAGAAGATGTCAAATTAGTCGAAAATGGTCTGATTGAGTGAAATAAAAGCCTGCAGATAAAATGGGCTTCCAGGACAAGAACTGTACATTCCTGCTGTAAAGCAATTAATTATGCAGTGCCATATTCTTCTTTTTTACCAAGTATATCAAGTGTATCGTCTGTCAACTTAATTGATTACTATTACATATAGATAAAGATGAAAATGTCCCCTTCTCAAAAATTAAAAGTTGTAATCTTTATTTCCTAAAACCACATTAATATATTTTCACAACTGAAATTTCATGAGCCACATAAATTACTGAGGTGTAACATATATTCTAACTGGTGAGCTCTTCGTATCACCACAAAATTATTAAATTATTAAAGTGTTGTGAAAGTAGACTAATTAGCAGCCATATTTCCACCGCTGTACCTTCTTTATTTGAATTTAGCTAAATATGAGGCTCAAAGGCAATAATGGGTGATCTTAATAAGAGTATATGACCATGGCATTCCAAGAAACAATAACATAAAAAACAAAATACTGTTCAATCTTATTTTATGCTCCTAACGTGAGCCTGACAAATTTAGCATTTAAGATTTAAGAAATAGAATGTCTGAACTTGCTACTGATTGTTCAGGTATCTTGGATTCCATGCAAACAAAGCCACATTTCTTTTGCCATGAAACACTGTTGCTGTAAAATTTGTCACACAGTCACCTGGTGTTTGTGTTTGAAAACTTTCAGAGTTGTTGCTTTGCATGTGAATTTTCCCTGGATTGATAAGAATAAGACTGTTACGTCCCAGTGTGTGTTCTGTGTGTGTTTTTTTCTGTTCCACACTGCTAGCCCTTGATTGTTCTCCCTTCCCCATTGGCCCACCATCACTCCACTGTTTCAGTATGATGTCATCATTAATTAGCCTCAGCCAATCAGAACACATCTTATTCAGCATATAACATGGAGGTTTTCAGCAAGGAGAGGCCTTTCGTTTGACTTCAGTCCCGTTCGGTTTTGGTTATCTCTTCGCTTCGCTCCTGGTTATTGCTTCGGCTTCGTTTGTTGGTTTGTTTTGCTTTGTGTGTGTGTGTATTTTCGTATAGGTTCGGCTTTGTTGTTTTGTTGGTTTTACATTAGTTTCTTTGTACTTTCGTTTGTTTGTGTGTTCATCCTTGTTTTGTCATTACCTTGCCCCAGTGTTACATGTTCAACTTTTGTGTTCTTTTTGTACCCTGCTCCTATTTATTACTCTTGTTTCCCCTTATTTGTCTTCCTGGTTCACTTGTGTTTTTGTGTGAACTTTTGTATATAAGGTTAGTTTAGGTTGTTGGGTACACTTACACACTTAGTTGATTTTGTATTAGTACACTAGTTTAGTACGGGTGAGTGCCGTTTGCCTTGTATGGTTTTGGGTAGTCAGTGCAGGTTAGCTAGGGTGTTGAAGACGCCGAAGACCGTGTGTTTCGGGGTTTCTTTTGTAGTCAGATTAGCTTTCCCTCACTGTCCTAGCCAGCTCCATTTTTGTTTATTTTCTTTCCTTTGGCACCACTCTAGTTCCTTACCCTTATCACGCTTCCTAGTCCCTCACCAAAACCCCCCACTGCTTCCAAAAAAATTATCCTAAATATTACACCCCTTTTCCCCTAGACACTTGGGGTCGTAATAAAGACTTTGCCACAGGGAACTATTTTATTTTTTGCCATGTAGCTTAAATTATCATTCTTTCTATTATTTTGGATATCACTAATATTAAATATGAGTTGTAAAAATTAGAAAGCATTAGAAATTGTAAGACTATCAGTATTGGATACTGCATACAGCCCTCCTCAAAATAAATATATATATATTTTTGTAAATAGAAATATCAAATTATTCAAAACCTCGAAATATATTAAAAATGCTGAAAAAATCAGCACTGGGAATTAAAGGATGTTGAATACAGAAGCAAAATGGAGTAGAACTGTGTCATCATATGGCAAGTCAGAGAACTGCCAGAATATCTAACATAAAAGATTACCAACCTCAATAACTTGTTGAGGACTAGTGATTGGTATATATAAAAAAAAGAAATACCAGTTTTGACTATGGTGTCCATTATCAAGAGGTTCAAGTTTTATCTTATTGTTGCCACCCACCTGGAAAAGGACTTAAGAACGTTTTACCCAGGTGTGCAGTCAGAAATAGAATTTAGAAGAATGATACAGAGCCAAGAGCAACAAATGATAATTAAAAAAAAACTCTGGCATCATCAGGATACAATGTCTCCAAGACTAATGTGTGGCTTACCTCATGAATCTGAATTCAATGGCAACATAAAATGGAAGGAACATTTTTGACTTTTGATTTCAAATGAGACCACATGAAGCAGCTATATAAAACTTTTCTCAATATTTTAGTTTCACCAGGAATATGACCAGCACAGAAAGGTCCCGCCCATGTTATCCTTTGTGTGAAGTATGGAGGTACAGTGCCTTGCATAAAACTTCACCCCTTTCAATGATGTCCCATTTCGCTGAATTACCAAATGATGTATACTGTACATATTAAACTCAAAATTTAAATTATTTATTTAAATTAATTAAAATATTAATTTCATTTAATATGCTCAGACTGAATTTTATTGGTGAAGGAAGTTGAAAGTCAGCAAAAATCACGATGAAAATAAAAACTAAAATATGCTTATTGCATGAATATTCGCCACAGGCTAATAGCACAGTTTAGTGGAAGTTCCTTTCGCCAGCAGTTACAGCTGTGACTCACAAATCTATTTGTGCCATTTCTTTGCAAACTTGTTTAAGCTCTGTCATGCTGAATGTGAATTTTTGATGGACAACATTTTTCATGTCTTGCTGATTTTCTATCAGATCCAAGTACACACTTTTATGGAAGCCCGATTCCGCCAGGGAGTAAAAAAAAAACGCGCTATGGTATCTCAGAATTGCGACTTAGCAACTCAGAATTCCGACTTCATATATCTCACATTTGTGACTTCGAAATAGCCATATTTCATTGTCTGTCCTTTTGTTATTGTAACGAATTCGGTTTCTAGGGAATGGCCCTCGCCGCTCCCACCCTAGTTCGTGCCTCACTGCACTGGCCCGAACCTGAGTCTTGCCAGCTGAGCTAAAGAAAACCTTCTTTTTTAAGTAAAAAAGGACATACAATGGAAATACGTAAAAAGTATGTTTCAGCTTTTATAATTGTGAATTCTTCTGGATGTGAAGTGTCTATTTCTGTATCTTATTTCATATTCTGTCTACGTAAATAAAAACTATTTTTAAAAAGCCCACCGTGCACTATTCCATCCGGGTACTATGGAAGCCTCACTGGCGGAAATGGGATTCTATAAAAATTATGTAATTAATTTGATTTTTATCAGGGCACTGTACAAGACAAGTCTTCAGGCTTATAGATCCTATGATCCTGTACGATTCATGAAAATAGTGTAACGGAACGGCCGACATACAGGTTGTACGATCTGGTTGCAGTACACCACCCTCCCCTGCGCATAACAGGGATGCTGGCCGCTGGGGTTAAAGAAAGTGAGCCAGTGCAGCGAGCCACGAACTAGGGTGGGAGCGGCGAGGGCACAAGCCCTAGAACCCGAATCCGTTACAAAAACAAAAGGACAGACAATGAAATATGGCTATTTCGAAGTCGCAAATGTGAGATATAAAGTCGGAATTCTGAGATGCTAAGTCGCAATTCTGAGATACCATAGCGCGTTTTTTTTTTACTCCCTGGCGGAAACGGGCTTCCATACACTTTGACTGGATTAGACAAGTAAATTCACTTATGACCTAATTATGGAAAAAGCGGTATATTTAATCAACATATTTTAGCATTGAATTTCCTTTCCAGGACTTCTTGAGATTTAACTTATTTCACCCACAAAGGGTTTAGTTTATAGATTCAAGTTTCAATTAAAAAAATTCACTTTAAATATGTGCATCATTTTGTTAACAATTTCATTATTGCTTTCTAGTTCAACAAAATGGGACATATTTGGAAGAGGGTAAATATTGTACTTTTACAAGGATAAACACTATGATAATACTAGGATATTTTATCTAAAATTCTTTAGACAGGCAATTGAGCCTTCCAGCTGAATGATAACCAAAAATACGATATCTCCAAATCTACTACAAATGGTACTCCAAAACGTAAAGGCAAAGAAGAATTAATAAAATATAGACTAATTTACTGACAATATAAATAACTTTAAACTACTATATAAAGAAAATGTTCTGCAATTTCCCTCACTTTTTTGTACAATATCCAGCATTGATAGTCTCACAAATATCCATGTTTTCATAATCCACACTTAAATTTTTGTTGATGCCAATATTCCCACTGACATTACATACATTACTACCATTATGCTGAATCAAGGGTATGAATAAATTTGATGTCAACTGTATTTTTTTAGATGGTACTCAAATAAAGTTAGATTTTAACACAACTAATTTTTCAAGTTTAAGTTTCAAATGTCAAATGTTAAATCCCTGATTAATGCAATTTGTGCATAATTAACTTAAAATGCCTCCCCTGAGAATGAATAAAGTATTTTGAACTGAATTTAATTAAATAATTAACTGTTGGTTTAATAAACTCAACAGCAGATAACACCCTCTGTACATGGCTAATACCCGCAGCCTTTTTCCTACCTTGCAGACATTGTGAAGACACTCTGTTGTGATAGGCTGATACACCAGCTCCTGGCAACAAACACACATGAAGATCTGCTCCACCTTCCTAAGAAAGTTCTGGATGAACAAGAAAATAACTGTGATCAGGTACACACCCGTGGTTCCTAGCTACCAGCAACCCATTATCCCAGATACTACTGACTTGCATGGTACTATTAAGACAATATGCAAACCAGTACACATGCCCACTAAAGTCAACCTCCATTTTCAGATAAAGACTTTTTGAGAAACAAAATATATAATTGGAGATCAATCACAATACTTTTCCAACCTTTCCACACCATATTCCAATGCCCTTTCCTCCACTCAAAACATATCTGACAACAGAGAGAAAGACTCAGAAAGAAGTACCTCTGCTATTAGCCTAAGTGAATAAATGTATTCATCTAGTGCTGGGCAATAATTCGATAACAATAACTATCGCGATATAATTTTCTGCGATATATTTTTAACAAAAGTTCGATAAACGTTCGATAAATATGTTTATGCTTTGTGTAAAATACTGCGTGAGTGCGTGTGCGTGTTGCAGACCGGGCAGCTAAAGTGGTGTTGTTTACCCACACTGTGGTGGCTGACAGGATTGTAGTTAGAGTGGAGAAATGAGCGACACTGAAGCAAATGTAGTGCTGCCAACGACCAGCTCGAAGGACTATGACGTCGTCGACAGAAAAGGTCATTCAACTTCGGTGATTTGGAGATATTTTGGCTTTTTACGATCAGACATAAAACAGAGCACTTTAAACATTGCAGTCTGTCTTAGCCATCTTTTATTGTGTTTTATGACACTGCAGTATTTAATTTTTCTATTAAGATATTTATTTTGTAAATTTTACTAATGCATATTTTGACATAAAAAAGACTTGAATACTCTCTACATCAGATTTGTTTAATGTTTCTGCTGTTTGGCAAGTGTTTGTTGTGTTCTTAAAATAAAGAGTTGTTTAATTTACCAATTAACTGTCTGGTTTCTTCAACTTTCACTCAGGAGAAAAAATCTGCCTTTAAACTTTAATATACTAAAAGAAATAATGATTTGACATTTATCGTGATAATTATCGATATCGACAGATATGAACATTTTTATAGTTATAATGTTTTTGGCCATATCGCCCACCCCTATATTAAGCACTTAAAACTGAATGAGTCAAATGTACCAATGGCTTTAAGTTCTTCAGGATAATACTATATATTATTATCGCATATTAATATAAATAAATTATATTATCACATATTTCTCCTTTCCCTCATTCATTACTACAGTACACATTATGTGGTTTCCATAATGCTATGCTAAATTATTCCAAAACATGCTAATACACAATCTCAGGAACTCCATTCAGAGCAACAATTGAGAGACACCAGTCTGTTCAAGTGTTAGAGATGAAATTTCTTTTAGAGACTCATCAGGGCAAGACAGAGATTGTATTAGTGATGATACCAAATAGAATTAAAATAGAAAAAATATATATCTCTAGTGGCTATTTAGAAACGATTTTAATTGAGCTTCAAAAAATAAAAAAGACCAAAAGGGATATGAAAATAAATGTGATTTTTCTCTATTTATTAGACGGGCACAAAACACAAAGCAGGATCGGTAAAAACCTGGTCAGCTAAGACTATGCTCAAGTACTCAATTACTATGCTGCTCAATTACTCAATGATACTCAATATTGGTAGTGTTGCTCAGTTTTTTTTTAATTTTATGAGTCAGGTGCAATCCATGTCCAGTAATAACATCTCTGAAAAGATGTCTCTTTTTGGGTCAATAGGCTGTCTCCTGTGAAAATTGATAGTTCCAATACATCACTTAAGGCAAAACTAGAAGGCAATATTAGTTAATTATTTTTTCTGTAGCCTGTATTGCACTAGCACTACAATGACATCCTAGGCTGCTGGTTCCTGTTACTTCTCTACAGGAATGAATATTAATAATAACAATAATAATAATAATAATAATAACAATACTGCCTTACTGGTCCCTCCATGATGCAATTGAGGGCTTCATCCCAGAGTTTCCTGTTGAGGCAGTCCTCCCGGATGAGCCATTGTTGCTGTGCTGAAAGCTGGAATGCTTCTCCTTTTTCTGCCAACTTCCCCACCTTGGCTGGAGTCTCATGATCTTGTGTCTCTGAGACACACAAAAAAAAGAAACACAAAACACCTGTTCAAACAGTACAAAGTTACCATCCAATGTACTCTGGCAAGACATCCACTGAGGGTTCAATAGGACAAAATAACACTGAAATTAATATATCTCATGTTGCTGCTTTTCAAATCGCTTTCTGAGTTTTGCTACAAGGCCACCATAAGTCCTAGTTTTAAGTCTTTTCTAACCCTCAACATCTAAGAAGCAACCTGAATATTAATACAAATGCTTAAATGCTTGCTTCAACGCTTTAAAAAGGTGATCTGTGGAAACTGTCCTGGTTATACAAATGCAGTTGACAACTGCGTCTGGGGTGATGGTGTGCACCTGTCTCCTGGGGTCTCTTCTGACTGCCATTGCTCTGGGGGCAGGTCTCTGGCTCTTTCTTCTCCTCCTTCCCTTTCTCCTTCTTTTCTGCCTTCTCTGGCTTATCCTGTTTCCCAGAGTTCCTCTTGCCTCTGTCCTTTTTGGACTTGTTGGCCATAGCTTCCAGGTAGCCCTCAGGGTACTGCCCAAGAAAATAAGACATCAAAAAGATTAGAGAGTGTTTCCAGATAAAATGAAAGACAGGAAAGAAATCAAGATTGAACAAGGGAATAAGAGAAAGAAAAGAACGAAAAAATAATAAAAGAAAAATACAACAGAAAACACCTAAACACTCTAAAGATTTTGTTTCTATTTTGTTTCTATCACTTAGAGCATAAGACAACTACTGCACTCATTCAAAAGAAACAGTTCAACAAAATACATATAGATCATTGAGAGCCTGTAGTACTAATGGGGAAATGATGCTATTTGATCATCATTTTCCAATTAGTACTACATAAATGTTATCGGTATTGGTATAATTCTGGTTTTATATCTCTAAAACCTAACTAGTGGCTAGACAGATACTGTACATCACAGATCTACTAAATAGCACTGTTTAGTCAGAAAGACTAAAAAAACTAAATAATACAGCATTCAGAAGAAAATATAATCCAAAATAAATGGGAGCTAGAAAATCTACAGCTTTGAAAGAAATTATTAAGGGAAAGTGCCAACTAGAAAAAGAGACTTAAGCTAAGGCAGGAAATATAGTATATCAATGCCTTTTGTAAACTTTACGCTGAATTATATAGCAATTATATATATTGCTATATCATTCAGTAAAGTGCTCTGTGACAATGGTTGGAAAAAGTGATATTGCAAATAAAAGACTGATATGTTTTTATCTTTTGCAGATGGACCAAAGTCCACCTAACCATTATCAGAAAGCAGATTGTTCCTGTTAAGGGTTGTGCCAACCTCGAACCTATTCTGAAAGCACAAGGCACAGGTGGGACTACTGTACATCCTGAACGGAGTGCCAGTTCATGGCAGGGCACACACACAGTTTAGATACACCAAATAACCAGATCCAAGGTGGAGAAAACCCATTTGAACATGGGATGAGTTTGCAGTCTCCGAACAGAAAGTACCCCAGTCCAGAAATGAACACAGAACCAAAGAGCTGTGAAGCAGCATGGCTAACTGCCACAATACCAACCTTCTCCTGAAAAACCGCAGTGAAACCTAAAAACCGTGATGCCAGTGAAAAATCTTAACATGTACTGTATATACAGTAAGTGTATTTCGAATCAGTGTTTTCTTTGGTCTAACTGCTAAAGTCATGAATAATGGACAAAAAAATGTGGACAGTTGTAACTAGACTCAGACCAGATTATGCATATACAGTACACAACATTGACTGCAAATAGTTACAACAGTAATGGTCTCAAAGGTTTTCTTCATTAAACTCAAGCTTTTTTTTTAAACCTTCTGCATATGTATATACAGCAGATTCCAATAGCAATCCGGCAAAAGACAACCTTTTGCAATTTGAGACATTTTCTCAGGAACCCATTATAACCAGAAACTAATGCTTAAACAATTTTGGATTGTCAAAACACTCACTGACAACTACATTTTTTTTCTGTACAGCATATTGTAAATCCAGGTTTTAGTGGTTTCAAAGGTTACATATGGTCACTGTACTTTGTGGACATGCTTTGTGCTGTGGTTTCTGACTGTTGTACAGGATGGTTTTAAAACATAAGAATCTATCTGTTTCTTATTAAATTCTATTGGCTTTGCTTGAAGCTGGCACTAGGAAGCAGCAAACAGTTTGCAGTAATAAGCCTGCAGAAGTGCGCTATAACCCCAAGAACAAAACAGAGACATAACAATGGAAAACCGAGTTTCAGTGATGACTTATTCAGCCAGAACAACATTCATCATATTGTTGGATTTACAAGACATTTATTCTTTTATTTATTTATATTTCTTAGAATAAACTTGTGCATTGTTGTTATAAATAATCATTGTACCTGCTACCTTTTTGATTTACAAACATATCATTTTTAACACTATACAGACACTGTAAAACTAGTGGACAACTATTTCTTTCACATTTCTGTTTCAGCAGTGACTGTAAATCACCTTATTCTTTGTAAAGAAAAATGTTTGTTGTTGATCTACGTGTAGTGACTATACATTTCTTCTTGCAGATTATAAACGGATTTACATTGGAGTTTATATTCATTTTCTTCTCCCATGTACTACTCTTTAAAAATTAACACACAAATTGAAAACTTTAAGTGAAAGATTTCTTCATTTTAATACTGAAATTGCATTTAAATTGTCAATTCATACACAGACAGTTTACATTTTGTTTTATTAAATTTAATTAAATAATTGCAATTAAACAGTGCACCAATGTAGGTTACTGCAATTTGCAATGCACTCCATCAGATGCTCATTTACTTTCTGTAGAAATTTAAAGACACAAAATTAATAACAGTGTAAAACTGAATATGAATACTCTTAAAAGGTTTTGTACCAATGTTAATGGATCTCTATTCTTATATACTATTCTATAACACCACCCTTGTGAATTGCCAGTTTGATTGCCAGTTTCAGACTTGGCAGTACGTGGAGGGCAGTACAAAGCTAAAATAAAAAGTGAAAACTAATTTATATTAATTCCCATAATTTATAGTGACTGTTCTTAAAACATAACATAACCTTGAAAGATATAGACATAAACATTGTATTTCAGCCCTTTGAGACCAGCATTTTAACATGGTTTTAAAAATGGAGGCATTAATGAGCTGAACTTGTGTAGGTGTCATTTGAATGAGTTACGAGAATGTTTCAGTGTTAAGTGCCTTTTTTCAGACAGACAGAAGTCTCTTGTCAGGCTCTTCTTACCTGCACAGACAGGCCCAGTTTCTTGATTCGCTCAGCCCCTTCAGGTGTCCAGGGTGCTGGCTCTGAGTCATCACGCCTCAGCAGGTAGCGCCACACCAAGAAACCACACTTACCAATTTCTGGCCAATACTTTACTACCTAAAACACAGGGCACCATTACAAGTTAAGGTTGACTAGTTAACACTTATGTACAATTAAAATCTGTTTTACTTTTGTTTGACATTTTCCATAAGTAAACATTTTTTTAGTCTAAAATCCCAGTTGGAATCCAAGTTCCAAGCTCTGGTTGCTGACACTGCATTGACTGCTCCACATTCCTCCTTCTGGCATCACTGGATTCTAGCTTATCCTGATATTCCAAGATGGAGCTTGGATTCATGGTGCTGGTGGGAGGACAGTGGAGGATCAGAGTGCTGCTGTTTACAGTCAACCAGGCAACAGGAAGGTTCCATTACAGCTACCTGTATTTTAAGGGTTCCTGGGTAGAAGCTTGGAAGAGGTTGCACTGAGGGAGATAACAGATGGGAGGTGTTGTGTGGTATGGAAGGAATATAATAGTTACAATAACAAATATGTTTTGTTGAAAAATGATCACAAAAAGTCATTGCTAGAACACTAGTTCTTTCAGTTCACACTTGGATTGATTTTGAACCTGCACAGTAAAACCTTGTTTCCTTGGCTAGCTCAACAGGTCATGAGCTAAGATAGGATAAAATACAATAAAATAATAAACCATGAACTTATTATTCAGACGTGAGAGAAAAAATGAGCCATAGCTTATCTGATAATAGATATTGTCATAGTCATATTATTGATTTTCTGAAACTCAGCAATTTACCTCTCTAGCTTCTCACAATCATGAATTAATTATACAAAATCCTTTGGTTCTCCTGTGACATATGCAGACCTATATTTCCATCTGTCTGCACATTTTTTATTTTGTTTCAGTTTGGTAAAAGAGTGCAGGGTACTGACAATTAAACTTGGCCCATGTCTAAACCCTTCCATGAACCATCTGCCTCAGACTGGAGAAGAGGCCCACCTTGTAGATGCCATCATAGCGGTTGCCCTCTTCCGGTGCGTACTTGCTGATGCGCCTGCCTTTGGAGCTCCTTACCACACGCACTGGCTTCCCCGCTCGCCAGTTTCTGGACTCCGCCCCATCTTTGTCATTGAGGGGGGCATCGCAGTTCAGAGCCAGAGCCCTTTGAAAGGTGTAGAGAGTGAAAGGCTGAGGTTGGATCAAGACTGGTCAGTCAATGAAAAGTCAAAGTCCTTTAAAGTTTGCTGACCTCAATACAAAACATTAGAAAAGAGAATGTTAAGGCTGAACTGCATTTTTAAACAAAGACAGATTTTAATGGTCTAAGAGTGGTAAAGGCAAGAGAAAATAAAATGAAACTAAACATTGGCTGAAAATCTTGACAGGTACCTGTTCATGTGGGTCAAGGTTTGGTCAAATGAATGTTCTCCAATTCGCTTATTTCCTGAAAGGTCTCGCCCCCCACTCCCGGTGTAGGTGAACTCATCTCCCCTGTCCTTTTAGGAGAGACAGGAGGAAAGCCCAATCATTATTAAGATGGGATTGACAAAAAAAACAAACACTATAATCATCAGTGATTCAGCCACGAGTCACCAATATTTCCTAATGTGAAACTATAATGGAGTCTTTCTTATTTTGCTGGTCAGCTCAAAACTAAATTCTCAAAAGAACAGAATTTACAAATTATTATTAAAATTTGCCTCATATATACAGTAGCAGGGTGTCAGATTGACCCAGAGGACTGACACGGCTCCAGCTCAGAATATCCTGTCTGCCATTTGACCAGACAGGAGAAGAGGCCAAGGGTGCAGATTCCACTGCACCCTTGCAGTGGAATCGACTCCATTTAGCCACAAAAGCACTATGTGCTGGAGAAGGAAGCCCTGGTTCTTAAAATGTTGCTCTCAACTGGAAATCTTAGAATACAGGGATATAAGGATACAACTTGCATTCTAGGACCGAAGCTCCAAAATACCAGTCCTCTTACAAATTATACTTACATCTCAAACACCTTTATAGTTTTCTTATACTGAGGTGCTTTTACAAATTATTATGATTAATTTTAAAATAACAATAATTCTATTCTTCATATTTTAAACTATTCTATTTTTCACATTTTCATTTTTTTATATATATATTAACTATATGCTAAAAGGCCTGTCTTGGTGCTCTGAAGTGGCTCAACAGTGTTCACTGAAACTGTTCTTTTGAGCTCTTTAGACCTGATACTGCTTAAGACTGAGGCTGTCGTTCAATGTGTTGACTACTGCTGTCGTCGGAGAGCTTACAGTATTGTAAGTGAACAGCATGTCTCCTCCATCTCATTATAACTCTTTATTATGAGTTCCTTAGTAATTCCTTAGTAAGGGACTAAAGAATTTTTACTGTTAAAAAAACTGTAAGTAGCTACCAGTTTCTAGGGTTGCAGTTTTTTATTTTACAATGTGCAATTTAGCATTCTGTATCATTCTAATACCTTGTGTATTATAATGCTTGTTTTTGTATGGCTGTTTACCTATTGCTACTGTAGATGTAAACCTATTAAGGTAATTACTTTTTCTTATCGTTCTTCACCTTTTTTATGCTCTTATTTCTCACTGATCTTCCGATTTAACAATCTCAAATGTTGGTTTTATCTTCCCTTTTTAAATCATATTAAGATACAAAGGAGATTTTTCATTAAAAACGTATATCTCCACACTGCATTTTTTAAACAAAAGATATTTTGCAAAGGCAAACAGAACAACTAATACAAAAACAGAATGGGAGTTCATACATGATCTTAAAATAATACCCAATACCACTGTTTCTGCACTACAAAAATGCAACCCGAGAGTATTTCTTGTGTGCAGGGAGCAGTCAGAGGTACAGTAAAATCACAACACACACATCTGAGAGCACATCTTAGGTACACATTTTCAAAAGTGCTCCAATATAGGACACTCCCAAAACATGTGTATTACTTTGATACCTTGTGTATGATTATGCTTTATTTCTTATGGCTGTTACACGTATGTACCAGATATAACCTGAGTGAATCTGTTACAGCATATACAGGAGAGATCTTCATCTGCAACTGCCAATATTAGGACTTGGGATAGTGAATCTTCTAAGTACAAGTTTAAAGTGAATGAGCTGGTGTACTTGGTCTTTAGGGGAAGCTTCTTTAAGACTTCTAATTTAAAATTCTTCTCCACAGCTTTTTATCTTTTCCCTATCTGCCGACAGGAGATTTATATCCGGGCACAGCAACATTTGCAACTCCAAGGAAGAGCTCTGAGAGAGGATGCAGGAGCAGCAGGGGGAAAAGAAGCCTGAATATAGTTAGCAGGGTACAAAGCTCATCTGTCCACAGGGTCAGCACAGCTTGCTGTAATGAGATGACAGAACAAACAGCATAGGAAATCACAATGCCTGCCAGAACATCAAATTAACCCCCCCAGCTCCCAGACAACTCTGCACTACAAGGCCTCCCCCATTCACCCTGAACAAGGCACTCACCACTTCGTCTTCGAATCCTCCGGCCAGCACCAGCGAGTAGGAGCCGTCATTGCTCCGTCCATGGATTCCGCCCACGTGTGGTCTATGGACACCAGCTTCGCTCACCTGCCAGCAAAAAGACAACCGAGACCACAGCAGCTTAGGTGTGTGAAAGGGCCTGGATCTTCTTCTACTGTTCTGCTTGTTTAACAACATGTGGCTGAATAGTGGTTTTATGGTTTAGATTAATGCTTTCCACTTTATGCATGTTTTAAAAAGTATCTTTTTCATCGTTGTAGTTAAGTCCTTCCGGAGGAGATGGCTTTTATTTGCATTTTAAAATAAATATTACTGCAGTGAGTAAAATATTGCCTAGAGTTTTTGGAGGGGAAAGTAATTTAGAAACAACAGGACTTTAAACAGGATGTCTGATGCCAAGCACAAAAAACAAATGCAACGTGTATGGCTCTTGTTGCTAGGTATTTCAGATTTTGTAAAATATGTCCACCTTCTTTGTCATTAATCTAGAAACAATTAACCTTATACACCTCAGAAATATTATATAAGTCCTGGAGTTGGCAGTCAGTGAAAAGATTTTTATTAAGTCACAATGTTGTTTTGGTGAGAACTTCAATCTACAGTGTGTAAGTTGTCTCCAACACACATTATAAGGAATTTCAAAATTAGCATTCTGGCTCAATGAGAATATTTGGAGTGTCACACCTATGCTAATATAAAATCAAATCTACTAAGAAGGAGAATATACAAAGGAATATTATATTCCTTTGGCAGAAACACTACATTATCACTGATATACTGTACCATCTAACATAGCAAAAAATTAACAATGGAAAGCAGTAAAATAATAAAAACTATTGAGACATCTCTTAAACTTGCTTACTTGCACTCTGAACTTCCATGTTGTTCCTACAGGGATTCCAGGTATGGGCCCATAGTGGTTTGAGGGGACAATTGTGCATTCTTTAGTCCGACCAACACAGGCCATCCCCTGCAAAAAAAGAGAAGCACAACAAACATATTATTTAGCATTTTGGCAAGGTTAAATTCTGTTGATGAAAAAGAGTGGTTATAAACAACAGTATAATGTAAAATGGGCACATTTAAAATTCTTCCTTGCCCTGTCTTTCTCACACCTGAAGAAGGCTCCACAGCCGAAACGTTGTTTTCTTTCTTCCTCTTTTCAGCATGGAATAAACCTATTTCTTATTATTTTGCAGCCTACATATGCTGACGCAGCTACCCACCTGAACTACTTAAACCTATTAAACTAAAGGTTTAATGTGTTTCTTTCTCCCCAAAACACTGTATCACACATCACAACAAAAGTCACCTTTATTTCAGTTAGCTTACTTGCATATTGAATACATCTCACAGTTGTAACAGGAACAAAATAAATGAATGCATTATGTGGTGGAAGATATTTCAGTACTTTACCTGAAGAACATTTGGACCTTTTCAACCAGTCATGTCTTGATTGCTTTTGCCAAAACTTCAATTCTAATGATTTCCTGTCCAAAAATTCTAATTATTTCAACTAAAACACAAGAATGCTATTTAATAAACTATTAAAATGTTTAGACTATTCAAATATAAAAATAACTGAAATTATTTAAAAAATCAAAATGTATAAAATAATATAACTTGAAATAAAATACAACAATGGTTTCAGCATTAAAAATGGGACTAAAATCATTTAAAATGTGCCCGTTTTACATTATAGTGTAGTTGTTTAGAACCACTCTTTTGCATCAACAGAAAAATTAAACCTTGCCAAAATGCTAAATGAGAACAGCCGAACAGTGCTTCATGTTTCATTCAGATTTTCTGTTTATGACAATGTATGATTATGGCCAGCTAGATCCCACTAGCAGTTTCAAATGTTTGTCTGCATTTCATTGTCTTATTGCTTCAAGAGCTCTGCTTGGAAGGAAATGAGTCAATATCAAGGCTGACTTAGTATTAATGGTTTGTTTTCCTCATTTTCTTTTTGTGCATAAGAAAGTTATTACCATATCATATGGCCCCAAACCCTCATGAAGAAATCACTAAATGCTTGGGCTAAGGAAAGAGAGTTCTATACTAAGCAATATTAGAAATGGCAGAAGAGGTAGAGGAGCTACACATTTCAGCAGCACTTAAGATAAATGTCCAGAGTCTGAATATATTGTACCAATTGTACTTAAGGAAACACAGTGGAGCATTGGTTAGCAATGCTGTCGTGTAGTGCTGGGGCCCTGGGCTCTGGACCTGGGTTGCTCTCAGCATCGTTTGTTGTCCTTGTGTTTGCATGGGTTTCATCGGGTGCTCCAACTTCCTCCTACATACTTAGAGCAAAACTACGGAATAATCTGTATACAAAAATGATTGCAGGGGATAGTCAAAATATATTTAGAAAAGGTCAATCTTACGTACTGTAAGTAGCTTGTTAGAAGTTGTTTGAACAAACAATTAGAATTTGATTGAAATACATAATACAACATGAAAATATCTAGATTTTTAATAATTGTTTGATAAAGTTCCTCATAGAATATTTTCACGCTACAAACAGTAAATATATCAGGTGAATAAAGGACAGAAGAACACAGAAGGCGGATAAGGCATGAATCATTGAATTGGGATTTTGTAATTAGTGGTACACCTAAGGGATCTATATTAGTCCCACCGCACTTCCTAATTTGTATGAATGATCTACATTCTGGAATTGTGTTTCAGCTCAGCTCTAAGTTACACAATTCAGCTTTTAATTGACTTAATAATAGGATTAATCTGAACTACTGATTTTGAAGGTCACATTTTAATAAGTGTATTTTGTTACAAGTAACACAATTTCCAGGTTTTGAGTGGAAAAAAAGACAGTTCCAATCAAGCAATGTATTACTTCAATTAAGGCTTCAAGTAAGTTACAAAGCTTGATTAAAATGAAAACCATCTGGTATGTGAGCCTCTAAGACCAAGATTGGAAACCCTGCTCTAGACAAAGTGCAGAAGCATAAAATAGCAAAAAGAATATTATAATTACAGTGAAAGGTACAGATGTTACATTAAAATTTTATAATGCAATTTACTGGTTAACCTTTCAGGCTAAATAACTGAATGTTTTGATATCCTCAACAGGGAAGAATGGAGACCTGATTTGAGTATTCAAATTAATTGATTAAGTCAACTACATGGACTCTCCAGAATCAAAAACTAACAATAATCAGGCAATACAAGCAGACACTACTAGAATGTGCATTCACAACATGTATGGTCACTTGCTTTGTTAAGCGCCTTGGGGCAACCTTGTTGTGAAAGGCGCTACATAAAAATAAATGTAATTGAATTTAAAACTGAGAACAGGGAGCCTTCAGATCAACCAGCAAAGTCTGAGCGCAGGCTGAGCTCTAAGAGGCTTAGATACACGGTCATGTGACTAGCCAACTGCATCACAGATGTGATGGGGCACCATTAGGTGAGCACCACTGAGGGTAGGGAGGGATTCATCTTCTAGGCCTTTGAGTGAAACCTTGGTGTTTATGGACATGTAGAGCTGCCTGAGAATGAACCATCAATCAACCTTAGCTGTGTTTCCTGTGACATACAAAAAGGCAAAAGTCATGAAAGTAGGCAGGCTGGAGGAGTCTGCCTACACTTTCTCATTCTCTCTCCCTGTGTGCAGTTCTGGGGATTATAGCTGCAAGGTGAGAGGTGCTTAACACACAGTTCCTTTTTTCTTAATTAGGTGCCTATAAGAAACACAATTGGCAATTTTGAAATAAACATAGTGAATGAGAGGTGCCTTTTTACACAAAGGGTTGTGACAGTCTTAAACTAGTCATGTTGAAAAGCCATTATCTTGTGATCATTGAATTAACTGTTAGCAACCAAATTAGCCACATCAGACAAATAGCCTCTTCTCATCTGTAACTTCCTTATGTCCTTGAAAACTTGATACAGTGACAATAGATCAGCTAAGGCTCCTTTGTGTTCACAAGTTATGAACAAGTTAATTTTGCTTATACCCTCATCTCATGCTTATTTTCTCATCTCTGCATAAGGAGCTGAAACACGTTTTACTTATCTAACTGAGGACCCAACCTATGTATTCCATTTAAACTGCAAAAGGAGAAAAACAAAAATGCACAACTGGTTAAAACGGTTCCTCACTGTTTACTCAGAGCTATTCATCTCACTTTTCCACTGAGGAAAAATACAGAGGAGCTGAAAGAGAACATACCACAGTAAATGATATTTGGATATAATTTTACAACTATGTACACATTGACAATATTATAGTTATAATCTACATGCATATTTTTAGTAACTGAAGCAAATACTCAAATAACCTTGAAAGAACTCGAAAACCCCTGATCCTGTCACCAATTTCTTGTTTTGCAAATCACAACATAAATTGAAATGTTCTTAAATTCCAGGTGAGTAAAATGCACAGAAAATGGTAGTATACCATATAATAAATATACCGACACTAACTCTGAGTTGAGAAAAGTGAAAAAATGCATATTCTTGTTATGTGGTTATTCTGTCAGGATGGATGCAGAACTGTTTGCCTCATGCATGCATGCCTCTTCTCTACGAGGAGGGGATGCTGTTGTTGTACTGTCACTTCTCTCACCGTCTACATTTGCTTCCACATAAGCTCCAGTAAACAAACTATTCTGACAGGGAAATGTATGTCTAGTCCTCATTGTACTAACAATATGAGTTGCACACATAGCCTTACACATTTGTAATATATAATGTCCTGATATGGTACTACTTGTTGTAGTATCAGTGTGTTGTAGTAATATTTATCTTTGTCAACTGTACATTCTGATGAACATGGACATTTCATTTTTGTATTTTGTACAACAATGCTCACTAAAAATCCATTTTTTTCTCCCAACACTAAATGAAGAACATAATATTTCATGTGCTTTTAAAAATGTAAATACTGTAAGACAAATATAAACTGTCCAAGGACCATTATTTGTAATTCTTTGTTTGGGATTCCTAGACAAGGACCTTGATAAGTATTAGAGAGGTTAAGACTAAATGTAATTACAACATAATGCTTGTCGACTGACACTGATTAATCTCTTAAGCCTTGTCACTACAAGAATGTGGTCTGAACTCCTACTGCCCTCTATTGCCAACGTCAAGATTGAATTGCTCTGCAGTCTTTACATATTTTTATTCATAACTGTATTTTTGTCAAGTTTATTCTATAGCAGTAGTTTTTTAATTTTATCTTCTATATTGTACTTTAAATGGCAGTAGTTAATCAAATCGTTTATAATTTATCCAACTATTAGTCATATGACTATTACACTTGGTAAGTAACCATTTTGTCTGTAAAAGTGACCTATTCAAAGGCATCTGACAAATATATAATAACTAAAAATAACAATAGCTAGGCAATATGCTGCAAAAAATATGCTCTTAAAGTACAACAGTTGTTAGATGCCGGCTTTAATGCTACATTATTTAACTTTTCCTATCAATGAGTCTAGGGAGACACAATGTTTCATTAAATGGTGAGACAATTTCAAAGTTTATTGGAGTGGACAGATACTAGTAAAGTGACCAAGCAGCGCTAACAGCTGACGGTCTATAACCACACCCACAGGTCATTTACATCACAAACTCACCTTGCCCCAGTCCCTCTGGCTCTCAGTGTGTGCAGAGGGCATCTTGGCCTTCTTCTTGCTCGCCTTCAGTTTTTCACCTGCCTTCACAACTTCACTGGTGTCATTTTTGCAAGTAGGACAGTACCTTCAAAAAGGCAACATGAAAGTCTTAGCAGTGCAAATAACAGGAAGATTGTCCCCAGCAATTCTTAAAAATGGTTCTCCCAACATTTTTTAAATTCTAACATTTATTTATAACAAGTTTTTTACTTTTTCCTTTGTTAGATGTAAAACTGCTAAATTTAATAAATTCTGTCTGCCTTTATGATTATATTCTTATATTGTATATTTATGATTCTGCTTGGGTATGCTGCAAAACTAAACTTACTTTCAAACTGCATCTTCATGTATTTTTTATGCTATGCAGTTCAAATACAGATAACTGAGTTTTCTAGGATAATGCAGACAATATTATATACACTATATGTGGAGAAATTCACCTGATACTCCAGTGATTTTCTCAATGATTCAATAATGAAATTAACATTAAATCTATGGCATCATGTGCTGAAGCCCAAGGTTCAATTCTCAGCCTGGGGTGCTATCTGTGTGGAGTTTGTATGTTCTCCTCCCACACCTCAAAAACATACTGGTATGCTTCTGTGAAAACTAGCCCTGGTGTGATGGTGTGCGTGTCTGTGTAGGTGTGTCAGTCCTGTGATGGACTGGCATCACATCCAGGGTGTATCCTGACTTTGAACTTTTGCTTGCTGGGATAGGCTCCAGTTCCCCCTTGAACCTTAATTGGAAGAAGTAGTTAGTAGGAACATTAAAACTAAACTAAAAGTTCCAAACAGTTTGAGGGTTTTCAACTAAACCTCTGAAATATATCAAAAAAGATCCAAATGAAATGAAAGCTTAATTTCCCTACCCCCTATTTATAACATGACCATTATATTTTAAGGTGTATAGCTGCGACAGCATGCGTAGACTGCAAAGGAACAAGTAACAGGTTTATTCCATGTTGAAAAGAGAAGAAAGAAAATACAATGTTCCGGCCATGGAGCCTTCTCCTTCTCACACCTGAAGAAGAATCCACGAACGAAACGTTGTGTTTTTTCTCTTCTCTTTTCAGCACGGAATAAACCTGTTACTTGTCCCATTATATTTTTAGATAAATCTGGCTTTAAATGAAACCACACAAATCTGCACTGGACTAATTAAAAAGTCTTGGCCAGAACCAAAAATAACCAATGCAGTAGACTAAACTTTTGTTAGTTCGGTGGAAAATAGTCGCATACCGTCACATTTTCTTTGTTACATTTCACTGAATTGAAAACTTCCCATAATCTTACACATAACAGAAGTAAAATCAGTCCTCTCATAGAACTCCAACAACACTTAAGATGAAGATCCCCATTTTTATTGCCCTAAGCTTTAGTAGCAAGTCTTCTGGTTGATAGCATGATTAAGATTTACCAGTCCTCGTCCTCGGGGATCTTGGAGAGAGGTGGGTTCAGGCAGTAGATGTGAAAGGCCATGTTGCACTCGTCACACAGCAGCTGCATGTGAGCATCTTGCTTCCCTCCACACACACAGCATGAGCAGAACCGGCACTCTGCTTCTGGGTCAGCCTTGCAGTGCTTACACTCTGGCCCGCTCTTTCCTGGAGCAGAACACAAACACAATGTTACGAACGTTCTGGGCCTCTGCACCAGAAGGCAGAAGAAGAAAGAAAAATGTATGCATATCAGAATAAAAGGACAAGAAAAACAGTGTATTTTCTTCACAATGCACAAAACCAGCCAGGAATTTTACTGCAACCCCCGAGACTGTTCCCCTCAAAACATCTACAAATCTGTAAACAAAGGATTTGCAAAGACTGACTTCAGGAAATAGTTCTGACAATGACAGGGATATTAATAAAGCATTTCACTAAGAATATAAAATTCAAATAAACGTTTCCTTATATTTTAATAGTAACACCGAAACATTACAAAAATTACCTTTTCATTTTTTATTACTTTTAGTAATCAATTTCTTACATTGTCATTTTTTATTGGTGTAGAATGTAAAAATCCAATAAATTGCAATCGGCCTGATTTTTTTCTTCCCCCGATACAACTTTTCATGCTGCTAACTACTGTACAAATTTCAGTAAACAGAAAGGAGCTGCAAGTGAATAATTTCTTGAATACTTTAGAGCAGGGGTGGGGAACAAAAAAAATCATTTGGTCTGGCCCTGCCAAGGCAACCACAGGCGTAGAGCCTGGCGATAATTCAATAACGATAATTATCGCGATAAAATTTTCCTCGATATAATTTTAACAAAAGTACGATAAATGTACATGCTTTACGCACTAAATACTGCACGATGCACGTGCGTGTTGCAGACCGGGCAGCTAACAGATTTGTTTAATGTTTCTGCTTTTTGGCAAGTGATGTGTTTTTAAAATAAAGAGTTGTTTAATTCACCGATTAACTGTCTGGTTTCTTCAACTTTCACTCAGAAGAAAAAAATCTGCCTTTAAACTTGAAAGAAATAATGATTTGACATTTATCGTGATAATTATCGATATCAACTGATATAAAATTTTATATCGTGATAATGTTTTTCGCCATATCGCCCAGCCCTACGCAGGCGGGACTTGAAATTCAATAAATCTAGGAGCTTTTTTCATAGCAACATACATTTATATTAAGTGAATCATAATAATAACGTTAATTTTGAGGGACAAGCAAGGAACGTCCATTACGGGATAGACAGGACACATACGAGTACATGACGGGACAGACACGCATGCTTCTTGCGGGCTGCCCGCAGCCCGTCTGCCTGTATCGCGGTGAGTCAGAGGGCAGTCAGTGCCAGGCAGGCTGGGAGTGTACACGTTGTGAAAGTGTTAACACACTGTGTTTTAAGAACTACGGGATGACGTCAAGCAGTTCATGGAGGTGAAGGGAAAACCTGTCAGGGAACTCAATGATAGCAAGTGGCTGATCGACTGGGCTCCAGACTGACCGACGCAAACCTGGAAAAGCAGTTGCGAGTAGCAACATCATCAATACCAGCTAACATCACACGCCTCACCAAAGGGAGGCAGTTCCAGCCATCACATTAGGGGTGAGTTAATTAAATGTTTGACCAAATATAGCAGGCTAATTTTTAAATTGATAATTTTGTATGGCCCGCGAATGATGTTATAAATATCCAAATGGCCCTTGGCAGAAAAAAGGTTCCCCACCCCTGCTTTAGAGTGTAGAACATAGGGACCAGCTATTACTCTAACTTAAAAATGCCAGAGTACAAAAAGTTACAGAGAGAAGGCCTTAAGAGAGTTACAAGTTGATACAATATGACTATGCAGCTTCCTCCAGATAAAAAGTACAGTGGTGTGAAAAAGTGTTTGCCCTCTTCCTGATTTCTTATTTTTTTGCATGTTTGTCACACTGAAATGTTTCAGATCATCAAACAAATTGAAATATTAGACAAAGATAACACAAGTAAACACAAAATGCAGTTTTTAAATGAAGGTTTTTATTATTAAGGGGAAAAAAAATCCAAACCTACATGGCCCTGTCCGAAAAAGTGATTGCCCCCAAAACCTTATAACTGGTTGGGCCACCCTTAGCAGCAACAACTGCAATCAAGCGTTTGCAATAACTGGCAATGAGTCTTTTACAGTGCTGTGGAGGAATTTTGGCACACTCATCTTTGAAGAATTGTTGTAATTCAGCCACATTGGAGGGTTTTCAAGCCTTAACCGCTTTTTTAAGGTCATGCTACAACATCTCAATCGGATTCAGGTCAGGACTTTGACCAGGCCACTCCAAAGTCTTAATTTTTTTTTTCTTAAGCCATTCAGAGGTGGACTTGCTGGTGTGTTTTGGATCATTGTCCTGCTGCAGAACCCAAGTGCGCTTCAGCTTGAGGTCACGAACAGATGGCCGGACATTCTCCTTCAGGATTTTTTGGTAGACAGCAGAATTCATGGTTCCATTTACCACAGCAAGTCTTCCAGGTCCTGAAGCAGCAAAACAGCCCCAGACCATCACACTACCACCACCACATTTTACTGTTGGTATGATGTTCCTTTTCTGAAATGCTGTGTTACTTTTACGCCAGATGTAATGGGACACACACCTTCCAAAAAGTTCAACTTTTGTCTCGTCAGTCCACAGAGTATTTTCCCAAAAGTCTTGGGGATCATCAAGATGTTTTCTGGCAAAACTGAGACGAGCCTTTATGTTCTTTTTACTCAGCAGTGGTTTTTGTCTTGGAACTCTGCCATGCAGGCCATTTTTGCCCAGTCTCTTTCTTATGGTGGTCGTGAACACTGACCTTATCTGAGGCAAGTGAAGCCTGCAGTTCTTTGGATGTTGTTGTGGGTTTTTTTTGTGATCTCTTGGATGAGTCATCGCTGCGCTCTTGGGGTAATTTTGGTTGGCCGGCCACTCCTGGGAAGGTTCATCACTGTTCCATGTTTTCACCATTTGTGGATAATGGCTCTCACTGTGGTTCGCTGGAGTCCCAAAGCTTTAGAAATGGCTTTATAACTTTTCCCAGACTGATAGATCTCAATTACTCTGTTTCTCATTTGTTCCTGAATTTCTTTGGATCACAGCATGATGTCTAGCTTTTGAGGATCTTTTGGTCTACTTCACTTTGTCAGGCAGGGCCTATTTAAGTGATTTCTTGATTGAGAACAGGTGTGGCAGTAATCAGGCCTGGGTGTGGCTAGAGAAATTGAACTCAGCTTTCCAAAGATGTGATAAACCACAGTTGATTTATGTTTTAACTTCATTTAAAAACTGCATTTTGTGTTTACTTGTGTTATCTTTGTCTAATATTTCAATTTGTTTGATGATCTGAAACATTTCAGTGTGACAAACATGCAAAAAAATAAGAAATCAGGAAGGGGGCAAACACTTTTTCACACCACTGTACCTCTTTTGAGGTATTGAAGGCTCTCTTATGTTGTTTCTACTTCTGACTTCAGACGTTTTACTGTTACTGTACACTGCATGCTAAACAGGATCTTTTTAGTGCATAGTTCAATTTTAACACAACATTCCCTTTATTTAAATTCTGTTAATTAATTAAATTCTACACTTTAACTATATAACCAAACAGGTTGATATCAACTGTAAGCTTTACTAGTTTACTACCTATTCCACAGTCTCGATCATTGATATAAAGGAGAGCGGTGGTTTATTGATTCTTATGGTACTCGATTCTTTACAACACCCCGAGAATTCATCCCTGATATTTGTCGTTCTATTAACCAGTTCCCATTCCTTGAATGACCTTGAATGACTATTGCTTGCAATTTTAGAATCTTCTATGAAGAAATTACTATTTGTGAGAAAGTATTCTAACATATTAAATATTTCATGCTATATTCTCATACAATATACTGTATCTATTTGTATATGTTGATTACTGATGCCTTTTCAAACTTCTCTAACAAGTTATTTAACCTAAATCCCCACTGACACATTATCTTCTAGTTTCTAATTATTGTCTTCATAAGCTTATATATAATAGACATAAGACTTCTTGGTCTGAATTACTTTAGCAATTTTCTAACCAGTGGGTATCAACACTGCTTTAAAGTAATTGCTGGAAGGATTTTGCTAATGAATATGTAGCATTATATGAAGTACAATGGATAGAATATCATCAGACCCTGGAGATTTATCTTGATGATTCTTTAATAATAATATTTAATTAAACAACCTTGTCCTGGGGTATCCTGAGGCATGTTGTAAATTATTTATTTTGTAAACACGTGAGTAAAATAATCACTTAATATAACAGCTACTTCCCTTTCATCACCGAAGTTTTCTGTTATTATGTCTGAGACACCTCATTTCATACATCACTCTTCTTTTGCTGTTGTAATACTGTTAGCAATGAAAAAATTGCCCCTGTCCCAACAGTGGAGGCGAATTCCCCACAAATTTGAAAGGAAGAAAAATAAAAAATAAAAAATATAAAAAATATTTTAAAATATTAATGAAAGATTTTCTTGATTGAATGAGAAATCAAAAAGAACATAGATTTTAACCTTTTGATTAAATGTAAAAAAAAGTAGATGATTCAAGCACAAAAAAAATAATTGCTGGTTTTAACCTTTTAACTCATTCAGTAGTATACTCAGACTCCTGGACTAATCTGTATGTCTATATTAGGGAATCTGAGAAGCTCACATACAAGTTCACACTCCTGACAATACCTGGAATGTAACACACCCAACTAAACTTTAACGTAAGAGGACGTTTCTAATTATAGAAAAATGAATAATGAAGCTGTAGGGATAAGCATCTGACAATAACCCCCCC